GGGAAACTGTTCATGCAACGTTTGTGAGCAGGTTGCTGTTTCCTCACTCAGCCGTTGCTGGCAGGGATCTGCCAACTAATCCTCTAACGCTTGGTTTTGATGCTGTTTTCCTTGGATACCAGCATTTCTCTGTGTGTTTCCACTTTTTGCTTGAATGAGTGTAACACTTAGCATTAAGTTTCTGGTGCAAATAAGCATGATAATGAAGGCAAAACTCCCTTCCCATGAATAATTTCTGGGATGCATTCAGGCCCCAATTCAGATGGATAAATACGTATGGGATAAAGAACGCAAATAATCCCACTGAATTCCATACACTGAAAGGAAGCTACTTTTGCACCTCAGGGCTCAGTCTAGAAACTGTTATTTTGCCAGTAGATGAATCCCCTGGCTCTTTGGAAGGAGCAAAAGCAACAGGTTACAGTCTGCATGATCTTGTTGGCAAAGTCAGTCTGGTGGTTTTATGCAGTGCTCACCCAGTGCTGCTCAGGCCTGGAGCTGTTACCACAGGGGGAAATAACAGCACAGGTTTCCATACATCTGATCCAGCCAATGCCAAGTTCAGATCAAAGGACAATACTCTCACTGGCTGCCAATAGCTGGAAGCGATCTGTCTTTCCTTGGAGATTTGTTTCCCTAAAAATATGGTCACACTTAAGGAAGGGGAAGCCTCAGGATCAGCTCCACTGCATTTCTAGGGCACCCTGGAGGTCCATGTTCTGGTTTGCAGAGGATCTGAGGAGAAAAGTCATAGATCAAGGGCTGTGTTGGCTCCTGGGGCTGGGAAAAGCTTTGGACAAGCCTCAAAGTCCCTCAGGGCCAGGCAGGTGAGAAGAATATGGTCAATTGCTGTGGAGGTATGGGGGACACATACACAGTGGAAACCACTAGTGCCTACTGCAGAACTACGTGGAGATGCCTACCAGTGGGCTGACACCCTTTCTGTTGTTTTATTCATTTCAAGAATGAACCTCTATCACTGCTTGGTTTTATTCAGCACCACAACCATAACAGACACACAAGGCATAGGTAAAATCCTACTTTTTTTTTTCTGTACCCACTACTCTAATGGAACCTCTGCAGTAGCAACCAGGACAAAAGAAAACATCACCATCAGAGTAACACAGTCTCAGGAAAGCATCACTGGCAGGTTTTCCTTATACTCCTACTTCCCCACTTAGCCGTGCCATGGGGCCGATATCCATTCCGTGCTGCAGAAGGGGTGATCCAGCAGAAAGTTAGGATGTACTGGGAATGAAGTCACATGCAAAATCATCAGCAGAAGCCCCTGCCACTACAATACTGACTTTCAGCTCGCAGAGTTCACACGGGCAGCCTGTCCTCACAACTTCTTCTGCAGGCTAAGGGGCCAGCTGGAGGTTTTCTGGATTTTGGTTTGCTTGTTTGCTTTCCCAGCAAGTGCACTGCTGTTGGCATCAGAGATGGCCTCTGTGACTCTGGAGGTAAAAATCAACAATCAAAGCTGCAAGCAAAGAAAAAGAAGGGGAAGGAGCTGAGGAAAATGAGTTACAAAGGAAAAGCACATTGGTACCAGTAAAGTAAAGCAGGGAAGGGTAACAGACAGGTGAGCCCAGGCTGAAGTCCTCATGTGAATCACAGAATGGTTTGGTCTGGAAAGGACCTTAAGATCATCCAGTTCCAATCCCCCCACCATGGGCAGGAATGCCTCACACTAGACCATGGCACTCAAGCTCTGTCCAACCTGGCCTTGAACACTGCCAGGGATGGAGCATTCACAACCTCCCTGGGCAACCCATTCCAGTGCCTCACCACCCTCACAGTAAAGAACTTCTTCCTTCTATGTGAGGAGTAAATCACACACAGTTTAGTAGGATGGTCCATTGGGAAAGAGCCCAGAGGGATTTTTCTACGTGCACCTTCATGACAAGGCCAGCTGGGGATTTGATTTGAATCTTCTCCTTTGGGGCTATTAGCCCTTTCACCACATGCATACGCTATTGACTCGTGGCTTAGCATTTGTGTGTGAGAGTGGCTGAGCAGAGGTGTTGGAGCAAGGGAAGGACACACAACAGCACTGGAGCATCCCTGGCAAGCAATGCTGGAGTGTTTGTTCTGCCCCTTACATAAATCAGGCCTGGGTGCAGTTAACAGATTTACCCAGACTTAAACTAAGAAGTTTTAACCAAGAGATACTTCAGGACTCAATGGAGAGATCTCTAAGCATTTGGTGAACTCCAGTGAGGATTCCAGATGTGTTTCACTGATATAAAAGCAGAGCTTCCCACCACCCAAACTGTAGCAGAAAGAAGTAATTTTGCTTTTAAGTGCTTCTGTTTCTTGTCTTAAGATCCCAGCAGTTGATAGAAAGCCAAAGAGAGTGACGATAAATTACACAGCTAAGGCAGAATATTACTTGCAGGAGGGAAGAGAAATCACTCTAAATCCAAGTGTGGAAGGCAAGAATACTCTCCTAATAAAAACCAAGGGAAGCATCCAGCAAGGAGGGGCAGCATAGCATATGGGAACAAGCCCTCCGCATCTGCAGGACAGCGTGTCTGCCTTTGCTTCCATCACTGCTCTTTGTTTTGCAGATGGAAATACATTTGCTTTCCTTTTTTCCTGCAAGATACATTTGGAGGCTGTATTTTGATTAGAGGCCTCAGCAACTGCGTCAAGTTCAAACCAGACCTCAGATTTCAGAAGAGAAAGCAAAGAGGAAATGCTTGAACCTGAATCTTTAAAACCACTCTAAAATGACAAATTATTGGCTAACCAAATCCTGCTTTTGGTTGCTCATGTGTAAACATGGGGAACTCCACTGATGCTAAACTGGGAGACTGCCTAATCACATCCCTGCAACTGGAGCAGAATAGGGCCAGCTGGGCTTACAAAATCATGGGGTTTCAAACTAACTTGAATTTTTGGGGATAGGAGACTCTCCTAAACTAAACCTTCCTTACTGAGCCTGGCAAAATAAAGTGGCTCCTGACTTCATCGTCAGTGAGGTGCTCCCACATAGAATCATAGAATGGTAGGGCTGGAAAGGACCTTAAGCTCATCCAGTTCCAGCTATCCCTTGCTATGGGCAGGAACGCCTCACACTAAACCATGCCACCCAAGGCTCTGTCCAACCTGGCCTTGAACGCTGCCAGGAATGGAGCATTTACCACTTCTTTGGGCAACCTGTTCCAGTGCCTCACCACCCTCACAGTAAAGAATTTCTTACTTATATCTAACCTGAACTTCCCCTGTTTAAATATAAAACCATCACCCCTTGCCCTATCACTACAGTCCCTAGTGAAGAGCCCCTCTCCAGCGTCCTTATAGGCCCCCTTCAGATACTGGAAGGCTGCTCTGAGGTGAAGAAGTTGAAGTTGAAACCTTTCTGCGTGAGCATCCATGCCACCTGCAACATGGTGGGGGGCAACTGGGGCTCCCAGGGGCTCACTCAGATGTGCCACAGCCCCCTGAAAGTGGGGAGCAGCTGAGATCTATTTGGTTCAACAGGTGTAAGTGGCATGAAAGGACTGGCTTTCAGTGCTCACTGCCACCTGCTTTTCCAGCTTTCAGCACTCAAAGTGAGACAGATGAAATCCTGGATCTGCCAGTTCAGGCCAACTGACTGAAGCTGAAGCAGGATTTTGAAGTTTCAGTGAAAAATGCTTATCTTATCTTTTCCCAGCATGGTCACTACTGCCTAATATATTCAGCTGTGTCTATGGTTGACTTTCTCAATTTCTTGTGCAGGATAAATGAGACAATCATGGCAATAGAGCATGCTGCAGGGAATGGCACAGGATGGACCTGTTCGGGGTGCAAGAGGCTCACAGTGGCCAGGGAAGGGTTCCTGCCTCAGCTGCCTGCCTCCCTTCCCGAAAGAAAACCACAGCTGGGAATGGTGTAGAAGTAACCTGGAGCCTTTCTGGGCAGATTTTTCTCTCCTTTCTGTTTCATGCTGCTTTAATGAGTGGCTGCATGACAGTTACAGCGGCTGTTCCTAGCCGATGCACCAGCACACGGAGCCTGGGAATTGCATGTACCCAGTCATTAACAAGGAAGTTGAGCTTGCTTTTGTCTATGAGCTTCCAGGGAGGAGGAGGAGGCAGTGCCACCACTGCCCCTGCATGTGCCCAAGCCTTTTGGCTGAGGTCCTGCTCAGTGCTCCTTGACAGCCCCCAGACAGCCTTAGGCGTGATGGAGAAATGCTACACCAGATACTGCACTGTGCATCCAAGAACCTGCCAGTGCTTCACAGAGGGGTGCAAGCATCTCCCCTCTCCTGGGGGTGAAACCAGGCACACAGAGATGGAGGTCCAAAGTTTTCTGTTTGGTTTCAACACCCAGTTTTGGCCTCTCTGGGAGGTGCTGAGCATCAGCAATGCCAGGCAAAGCCCTGAGGAGCTGCAGGTGCTCAGCACCTCTGGTGTTGAGCCCTCGGACTGGAAGTGCCCCATACCAGAGGCCAGGCTGGGAGGAGAATGGTGAATTAAATGTCTTGCTGGAGGGCAAATGAGTCAGTGGCAGGGGATGAATAAGGCTCTAGGCCTCACATCTTCCTTTTCTTTCACCCTGCCCATAACTCACAGTGACTCGGAGGAGACAGGAGCTGTAGGATGAGACTGCGCTCTCTCATTTCTTTTGCTCAGCTCTGGTTGGCTCCTGACTGGTACCATGTACCTGCCCCTCTGCTGAAACAAGGGTGCTGCAGATCTCCAGCACTACAGGAATGAGGCCAAAGATGAGCTAGCCCCCAGCTGGTGGCAATTTAACTCTCACCATGGCTTTCAAGAAGGAGGAGGGGAGGGAAATCTGCAGTTCTTTAATCTGAACAGTAACAGCTCTGCTGAAGCCAGATTTACAGCCCAATCTGAGGAGCAAGAAATGGCATGCCATTGAAATCCTCCCATGTTGCAAAGGTAACATCAATTCCTACCTACAGAAATAGCCTATCCTCCAGCAAAGTGGAAGGAGGGACATTACTGGAAGTACTTTTTAAAAGAAAAAAAAAATATAATGCTCAGAAAAGTATCTCTATTTAAATAATCCAGTTGAGATGTTTGTAGTTAATGGAAAAAAAAATACAACATATACTGTTACCTACACTGAGAAAAAGAGTAAATCACTGGGGAGAAGAATGAGTGTTCATTGGTTAGAACATCACTAGACTCACATATATATATATTTATATATATATGTATATATATGTACAGCACCAGAGACTGTTAGATCCGTTCCCCCTGGAGTCATTGCAGTTTGTGATAAATGAAACATTTCAGAATTTGCAGTATAAAATATGGCCATAAAAAATCTTCTTTCTTCTAGTCCTTCGCAGAGCGAGCACCGCAGGGTGGGATGTGCAGGGGCAACCTGCCAGCCCCGCTGCCTGCCTGCTCCTCGCCGCCCCGGCTCTCACTTGCTCCCTGTGTGCACTGTGGTCACTGTGGTGGGTCTGGGTCTCCGGTCCCCTCCTACCGCAGAAACGCCTGAAGAAGCAGATGAAACAAAACTACAGAGAGTGGATGGAGACATACCTAAAAGGAAAGCCAGAAACACAGTTAGAAATGTTACGGTTGGAGGTGGGAAAGCTGAGTTTCTTTCGTAGCAGGCTACAGAGCAGAGGGGACCGCAGATGGAGATGGCACTCCATCTCTTCCTGCAGCGATGGCTTGGCTGGGTACATCCATGGGGCATCTTCTGCCCTCCTAGCCCAATGGCCATTCACCTACTGTCACCACCAGCAGTTGTATGCATGTCGCAATGAATACATGTCCACTTTGGTACGAGTTCATCCAGACTGATTCCACATTTCTGGGGCTGAAGACAAAGAGTTGTGGGATTCAGCAATCCCTCCGGCATTCTAGTGCTTAGAATAATTCTTGTGGGCCTGCTAAAGATGGTTAAACTTCTCATCATGGCCATCTAGCTAAACGAACAGACTGTGCACCTGGACTAAAGAAAATTCCCCAGGCATCGTGGAAAGCTGCTGATAAAAAGGTACAGTGGGTCAAATTCACTTCTGAGTCCCAGTAAAGCTAAAAGGAATGTAAATCTGTGGGACCTGTGCATTATTCTAGCAACAGCTTATGTTACTCCAGGTTTTGCTGGTATTTCTCCAGGATTTCCAGCTAAGGTATGTAGGTTGATGTAGGTTGAGTATCTGGACTCATAATTTGCCCAGGCAGTTCCTTTTGAACTCATCAAAGACTTCTTACCGATATTTTTCTATGAAAAGAAGGGGTTTTAGCAAAACTAAAACATTTATAGAAAGTGTCCACTTCCTATGGACCCCTCACCACAGCTCTCTAAAAACCAAACCCCTCCAAAGCATAATCCCTGAAAACCCAATGCAAGCTGAGTTTTGAATGACAGATTCAAGATCCTGCTACCCCAGCATGTCAGCGTTAATGAAGAGAAATAAAATACATCATTACTAGAGCTTTCTGCAGGTGAGCTGCCCCTCTCCCAGCAGGTGTAGAGACCCCACAGAGATGATCCTTAGACCTTGCTAGCACATGCAGCTCTTCATGCAGTTTAGCAGCCTTCAAGGCACTGATGTGCAAAGGTAGCTCTGGTGCAAGAAAAGCTGCTGAATGGGAGACCTGGCACAGTCACCTTGCTCTGATAAGATGCAGGCTCACAACGATTAGAAATACAGTTCATTTTTCCTAGTGAATAAAGGGCAAGATGAAAAGTACATTAATATGTTATTGGACTGGAGTTTGATATGGCCCCTTGACTACTTAGGATTTCTTGGTGCTTGTTATGACTTTTAACTACTTTTCCATGCTTCAATGTTGCATTTCAACCTCAGGGCTGACTATGTGGTACCTACACTAGTGAACATTCTGCTTCCCAGCAGTTTTGACATTTGACAACTTGGCTTCACGTTGCAATTTATCTATTACCTTAAAAACACAAGAGATCTAGGTCCTGTAATTAACCTAGCCAGTCCAATCATGTCTTAATAGAATAAATCAAGCTCAGGCAGAGAATAAGGCCAATACACTTGAGAATTCCTGACTGATTCACTTACACTTTCTTGACAGGTAGCATAATCCAGCCTAATGCGTCATCTTTGCTTTGCCCTAATACAGAGAACAGAATTAGGATGCAGCCTGACATAACCTACTCTCAGGCGAAAGCTGTATTTAATTGTCTTCAATGGTTTGAAATTACTGCATCTGAAATGATTTGGAGAGCTCATTAAATGCCTATTAATAACATTAGGCAGCATTGTATTTTATAATGGTGGCACAGATGTTTTGTGTAACTTGCCACATGGGATCTGTCTTGTGCAAGAAATCTGTCCCCAGAGAAAATCACTGAGAAAGAAAGAGGCAGGACAGAGACCTCAGAATCCTCTCAACAGGAGGTACTTGGTGGACTGCTTTTGATATGTCAGCTCCCTCTTAATGTCACTCCTGTATTTGCTGCTAGCTCTTCTCACTAGTTCTCAAAGGCTCCAGCAACTCTGGTTACTTTGAGGAAGGGAAGCTCTTCTGTACTGTCTGCCAAGCTGGTCTTAACCTGGGATGCTTGGAAATCTTTCGATACTTTTCTGCCTCATGTTTCTGACATGAGAAAGCTTATCTTAACACATTTGGTTTTACCCTTTCTATGCTTGCTGATGTCTCCATCAATGCAAAATACAGTAGGGTTCTGTACAGAGACCTGCTGGATTCTGTAGTGGTTCAACACACTTTGTTCTGTTCTCGCCCTTCTTGTTCACAGATGTTTTTCCATTACTCTTCGTACTACTCAGAGCTATTAATTAACACCATTTGAGATTAATCAAATGGATGGATGGAGATTAATCACCCACTAGTCTAACAGCAAAGCATGCCATCGATGCTCTAGACCTAACTGTGGTTCAGCTTAGCCACACGGCAGCGGGGACTAAAATAAAGTCATGTTTCTCTTCTGTAAAGGGTTTTCTACATTGCTGCATTGCCAGTGCATGGTTTGGACGTGCTTTGTGGCTGGTCAGCAGTGCATCACTCCTTTGCAGGTGCCAGATGTGTGCCAAGAGCACAGTGATGATTTTTTGGCAGCAGCTGTAGGATACGGCACTGGGCATGAATCCCCATCAGGCCCAGGATGCAGAGGGAAGGGGCTCTCCTCTGGCTCAGCTACAGCACAGGCTGGCAAAAACCTCTTGTGCAGCACCCAGAAGGCAGATCCCACCCCAACTGTACCCATGATAGGAAGAGAAACCACAGCTTCCATAAAGAGCTGTGGGGACTGCAGATGGTGGCATGTCCTCATCAAGGAGCAGAGATTGGCAAGAGGTGGGGGAGAGGCAGCACTATCCAAACTCCTTCCCGAATAGCAGGTGCTTTCAGCTCCAGAATAGCGCAGGGTATAGTAAAGAAATGACCAGTTCAGTCCCCAGTGAAGCAAGTACTGACTTCCAACTCCATAAGCTATTAGCATTCCTTTTTGTTGCTGCACCTTAAAACAATCTCCTCTAATTGTAAAGTCCACATCACTCCATTTCTTGATATAAAAATGTCTACAGATGGATGGAAGGAAGTAAAAGAAATGCTCAGAAGCCAGAGATTATACAGGCTTCATTGCAAAAGACACATTTCTGTTTTCCATATGATCCCTTATGTCTCCTTCCCTGGCATCCAGAAAAAACATATATCCCAAGCACCAGAGTCCATCGGGCAGCTTGCACATCTCAACTACAGCATATAACAAACAAGGCAGGAGGCCAAGTCCCACTGTGATGTACAGAGCCTGAGTCCTGCTCAGACAAATGAGCCTCTTCGTACAGGAGCTTAGGCTGGCTCAGCCTAGCAGGATCAGTCTCCTCCATAGTAAACAGAAATGGAAAATGAGCCAATTTTTACAGAAAAATGTCTTATCATAATACTGGAAACTCAACCATAAACAGTTTGAGTAAACTTTTTCAGTTTTCAGCCAAATACAGAACTTCTTTTTCTGGGTCTTTTTCCCAAGTGAAAGCCTTTTTTCTTCACAAGAAACAATGTTTTTCTCTAAAAACTGAAAGCAGCTAAAACCTTGTATTTTTTTAGTGCATAAACTTCTGTCCAGCTAAAACTGAAGGCCTCTATTCCTTTTCAGCCCTGATTTAAACACCTGCTTGCACAAAGCCAAATCAACTGGCAGCGAGGACTGCAGCCTGGGGGTCAAAGGGGGAAAACGGGTATCCTGTGAATTTCCTTGGGAGCTTTCCTGGGATGTTGGTTACTCACAATCTTTCCGTGTGGCTGCATCGGGAAGTGGTGTGGCGAGGCTGAGGGTGCTGGAGACGCTGGCGCTGGCACTGTCCAGGCTGCTGCCGAGGTGTAGCCGCCTCATGTGCCGCACAACGGCTGTGGCATTAAACGCTTGCTGGGGAGAAGAGAGCAAGAGAGGAAGGATAACAACATGGGAGGTGGAAGGGCTGCTTCTGCTCCTCTGCCGGCTGATCAGGCTGGCAGAAGTGAATGAGCACATCATCTGATTATTCTTCCCCCGGTGCTCAGCTCTAGGACCCCCAACACAAGAGGGATGTGGGCCTGTTTGAGGGGGCCATGAAGATGCTCTGAGGGCTGGAGCAGCTTTGCTCTGGAGACAGGCTGAGAGCTGGGCTTGATCAGCCTGAAGAAGAGAAGGATCCAGGGAGACCTTGTAACAGTCTTCCAGTTCCTAAAGGAGGCCTACAAGAAACCTGGAGAGGGACTTTTTACAAGGGCATGTAGGGACAGGACAAGGGGGAATGGCTTTACCCTGAGAGAGTGAAGATTTAGATTAGAAATTATGAAGTTCTTCCCTGTGAGGGTGCTGAGGCGCTGGCACAGGGTGCCCAGAGAAGCTGCGGCTGCCCCATCCCTGGCAGTGTTCAAGGCCAGGTTGGACAGGGCTTAGAGCAACCTGCTCTAGTGGAAGGTGTCCCTGCCTGTGTCAGGGGTTGGAACTGGACGAACTTTAAGGTCCCTTCCAACCCAAACCAATCTGTGATTCTATGATTCTGCCTTTTAAACCTTTCCCGATTTCTAGTTTCTAAGCTAGAAGCAACAATATCAAACCATATACATTTCTGCTCTGGTCCTGCTCCCTGCTGTCCCTTCTGGCACTCGGTTGGGATGCTGCTGCCTACAAGGAAAGTCATATTCAACACATTCTGCACAGCACCAACACATGGGGGGGTCTGCATTGCGTCATGTGTCCTGTGGTGCTGACCCCAATTCCACGTATAACAATGAGTGCTTTAGCAGCCCCATTATTTCATTGTCTTTATACAGAATCATAGAACAGTTTAGCTTGGAAGGAACTTTGGTTTGTGTGTTTGGGTGTTTGGGGGGTGTGGGGGTGGGGGTGTGTTGGGGTGGGTTTTTGGGGTGGGGTGGGTTTGTTTGGGGGGGTTGGGGGTGTTTTGTGTTTTTTGGGGGGTGTGGGTGGGGGTTTTGTGGTGGGGGGGTGGGTGGGGGGTTTTTTGGGTTTTTGTGGGGTGGTGGGGTGGGGGGTTGTGGGTTTTTTGGGTTGTGGGTTTGTTTTTTGGTGTTTGTGCTTCAAAGGCCATCAGTCAAATGCCCCTGCAATGATCACGGACATCTTCAACTAGATCAGGTTGCCCAGAACTATGTCCAGCCTGGCCTTGAATTTCTCAGGGATGGTGCATCTACCACCTCTCTGGGCAACCTGTACCGGTGTTTCACCACCCTCATTGTAAAGGAATTTCTTCCTCACATCCAATTTAAATCTCCCCTCTTTCAGTTTGAAACCATCATCCCTCATCCTATCACAACAAACCCTGCTAAAAAGTCTCTCCCCATCTTTCTTATCCCATGTAGAACCATTCAACTTAAGTCTGGGCTGAGTATTTTGACCAAAATTTTGGGCCACGAGCACACTAGCATGCTGAAGGGGTGGTTGTATGGCTGCTGCATTAGCAGAGTTGTGTGTCTAAGTGTCATCCCTGAGGATATGTTACTTACTCTCCATTTGCTTTTTGCAAAGTTCTTCCGGATCTGAGCGCTGACTGACTCATGGATGTTTTTGTTGAGCGCTGTATCCCCAGCAATCCTGAAATGAACAGACCAGACAAACTGTAAGCCATATTTTGCTCTCTTTCTTTTTCTTCTCCTCAACCAAGATGGCCAGCCATATGTGTGATTTCTCCTTCAGGGATGATGATTTCATTCACATGAGGGCTCAAACTTCCCACCACTGTCTCTGCTGGCAGCAGTGGTGGAAAATCTGGGGCAATAAAAGCAAATGTAGATAAGGCTTGTAGGTCTGGCAGCTACAAAGAGGTACAACCTTATTCTGTTGGTGCGTGGCTGCTTTCTGTCACCATTACAGCCCTAGATGAAAACATTCTACCTGTTTTTTTCTTTACATCTGAGGATTTAACATCAACAGGCTTGGACTACTTTTAGCCTCAGCCATGCAGCAGCTTTCAGAGCCACTCCAACCTGTCTGATTTCTGTTTGCACTGGAGATTTTCCTGCCACCCTGCAATATACATAGCCATTCATCATGACTGATGTAGACTTACAGTAAAGCAGATACACGGACGGTCACTACAGCAGCAGCACAGGCTGCACAAATAGCTGAAGGTGAACAACACTTAACCTAAAAACTTGACAGATACTGTATAGTTTCTTTAACAGATAAAGACACATTCAAATCTCCACTAACATGATTATTTCAAGGGAATTTTATTGTTTCATTTAACTCCTCAAGGCATGAGATCTGTTGGAAGAGTAAGCATCATAGTGAACTGACTTTGCACCGTGTGCTGGGGTAATGCTACCTAACTTGGGTGATGCCAGTAATAAAGATTACATTCTATGTTGTATGTGATGTTTTCAGAAATCAAGTTTCTATCCACACTGTAGAAAACTAATGTCCATTAGCAATAAAAAACTGTAAGAAATTGAATAATCCATTAAGAACAGAGTTTCCCAGCCTGGGGACCTCCAGTAAAATAATCAGAGGATGTGGGGGGCACAGTGGTTACCTCGGTCTTCCCCTCTCCCCCCAGCTCTGTCAAAATAATTCTGAGAAATATTTGCCTAACTAGCCCTTGAAGATCTCCAGAAGATGGAGACTCCTCAGGCAACCTATTCCAGTGCCCCACTGTCTCCCAGAAGACATGGAAAATAGTTTATTCTTTGTCTTTGAAGCATCCTTTCACATATTTGAAGACTGTTATCATGTCTTCTGTCTGTCTTCTCTTCTCTAGACTAAACAAACTGAGTCTTTCACTGTTTCTTCATAACTCATATTTCCTAATCCTCTGATCTACTGAGCTCCTCTGGACTTTCTCCAGCTAGTCCACATCTTCCTTAGAGGGCAGTACCTAAACTGTTCGCTGTTTTCCAACTAAGGCAGCAGAATGGCAGCATTGCTTTGTGTTTCTTCAAAGATGAAACTTTGCTTACATACCACAGCCTCCCATTTCCATTTATGTGTCCCCTGAATTGGAGACATTCCTTTCATTTTGTGAAGATCATTCCAAACTATAACAGTGTTCTTCAAAGGACATGCAGATTTTTCTACCTTTGTGTCAATGGCACATCTAACAAGTGGTCTCTGGGACCAGTCTTCTCAAATTGCTCTCCTCGTTCCTGCTGGCAAAACTCACCCAGGATGTCAGAGAGATAAGAGGAACTACTTACTCTTGGGAAGAAGAGGGAGTAAACTGCTATCTCCCAACAGTGGAGAGCCACTAATCCTATCCTGCTGCAACTAAGTGTTGAGTTATTCAAGTGTACTGTAGCCTGCAGGATTGTGGGCAGGGAGGAGCAAGGTTTCTTATTCAGGGTAGCCCACCTTCAACTGTTTGTCTAACTGTCACTGCTACATAACCTCTATGTCAAGTAGAAAGAAGAACTGGTACCATGAGCAAAGCATGGCTCCCAAATGGCACTTGACATTCTCTCTTGGGTCCCTATGCTGTTGATAGAGATTAGGAGGTGTTTGACAGAAAACTGGGAGATCTTCAATTCTTGCTTCAAAAAGGATTCCTTCTGATCTCCTCTCTGACAGTAAGGTAAATTGGTCCACATTTCCCACTGGAGGCAGGCAGATAAAATCTTGTGAGGCAGCATCTAGGTTGAGCATCATGTTCACTGCAGACAGGCCCTAGCAGAGTTTCCCAGGGGAATGCAGACTGCTAGTCCAAAATGCCATGAACACTATGCTCTGCCCAAGAACAGCTCCTCAGTGAAGGCAGGTACCCTCAGCACACACCATCTGGGAGCACTGACCATCATACTACAGATCTGCAGATGAAAACTAAGACAAACACTTAGTATGTGCATAGCTGCAAGCCAGAGCATCCGTTTAGTAACTGATCAAACAGACCAACTGCAAAGAGAAAATTTACTTATATTTGCAAAGAACATTTTCCCTCCAAAGCCAATGAAGCATTTGGCTTTATGAACAAGTTGGTTAACAAGCTGTAAAAGCACAGATCAGGTTTCCCACTTGTCAAATTCTATTTTGGAAACAGGGACAGAACAAGTTCTTGGGGCATGATACGCTTGCCAGCTCTTCCAGAAGATCTTTCCTGTCAGTCTCCATACTTGCAAATGCATTTTTGCTATATGAAACTTTTCACTGGGTGTGTAGCTCAAATACAGGCTAGATGTTTTAGGGATCATTTTTTGAAATGCTAATGGTTTCTATATGAAACTGCTGGTTTCAGTGGTTCACAAAGTGTCTTCTTCCTCCACTAACTCTATGTTCACTATGCAATTCTTGTAATCCCAGATAAAAAGTCTTGGTGTTTCCCAAATAGGCAGGACAGTACTTGTTTACTTAAGAATGAGATGGATAGACACTCCGTGAAGCCCTCAGATGCTACAGTGGTGGGGACCATCCTACATCTAATACTTCTTCAGCAGCATTAGCACCTTGCAGATGCTAGTTTTCAGTAAGAGCAAAATGACATCAGTGTTGGGGCTAATTTAGTGCAGCAGGATCCATTCAAACACATGCTGGTATGACAAACAGCATGGCTTAAAGCACAGCCCCCGCTGCCCAAGCTGGCTGTGGGATTGTTCTCCAAGCCACCTTTGAAGAACCGTCCTGTTAATGGTGCAATGCTGTATCAGGAAGACTGTGCTTTTATACTGTATTCTGCACTTGAAGGATTTTGAAACTTACATAAAATATTATATATAGTATTATAGTGTTTATAGTGTAGTTTTGCTTCTAGGAAAACAGAAGAAATGTTAACATTCATTTGCCATTAATGTTTTGCTGGAGATGTGGTGCTTTAAGGACAGAGGCAAGAGAGGTGGAGGTGAGCAGGTATAAGTCATATCTTCTATACAATGACTGGTAGATTTTGAAAACTGAGATAAGCTTTTGGGCACACAAACCTACCCCGAGGTGGATATCATGAGCATTACCACATCTATACTGAAGGTATTTAATCACAAACTCCAATTCCCATGCTGAGAAGATAATGCATGAAATTTAATAGAGATACTGGTTTTAGAGCCTGTCACAATCACCCTTCCACCTTTCTCCAATTCTCCAAGTCCACAGGCTATAAACCATCTAGCTTTTTCTTTTAGGGAAAAAAGAAAGTTAGCAACTTTCTTTTTAACTCCCTCCCCTGGACAACATACCCTTCTCCTTCAGGAATCTGCTCAATTTTTCCTGAGAAACAGCCACCTTCTGTTTCGGAGGTGATCAAACTGATGCATATCTAGTCAAACCCTGAGCAACAGTTCTTGGCTTTCCACTTAACCTGGAAGATAACTGTCAGCATGGAAGCTTGTTTTTACCAACTATTCCAGTTGGCCAGTAAGAGATACTACTTCTACCTACCACACACATCTACAAACCTAAAATTAAACAGATCAGAATAATGCATGATTCACTGTCATGCTGAGCATCATCTAGAACCAAGCAAGGATGGATGAGTCCAACTGGAACCTGTTTTTTCTCTCGGGATTCCCATTTTGCAGCATATGAAAGCAGCTACATCTTAACAGTGGTTTGGGGAACTTCATGTTGAAGCTGGTTTTTCATTCAGTTGTAAATATATGTGTCTCAACACACAGAATTGGATACCAAGAGCCACAATCTAACAACTCTCTGTCAGAAATACTTCCACTGAAGCTAAGAAGACTATTTCTCATTAATAACCGTAAGAAATCTAGCCCTGTATGTGGGAGGCATCTAATCTAATGATCAAATATTATTTATAGTATCTAATTTATTATAACTTTCTATCTGGGTTCAAAGCAATCACAGCAATTTATCAATGTATTAGTATTACCATACTAATTCTAAGCTTTGAGAGGAGCCTCCAACAAAGTCCCTCATCTACCATTATTTTCTTAACATTCATACTGAAGGCAGCAAACTCAAACGTTGTGCTAGCCAAACAGTATTTGGAAATACTCTTGAGCATGATGACAGGAAACATGGAGTTAGCTGTAATGGATGATGCCAGAGGATCATAACTCTTCTATACATACACACACACATATATATATACACACACATACCCCACATGCATGTGTATAAATACACACACGCACATACTCTATCAGTGATGCTCCAAAATAAATAGAGTGCAGAGACAAGCTCGATAAGAGTTTGATTTAATGTTGTAAACATCAGCAGTTCCCTTCAGGAAGCCCTTTTCACACTTCAAAAAACATCGTCTGAGAACTGAGCTCTTTGTAAGCCATGTCCTTTCCCTCGGTGGAAATTACTATCTGGCTCATGCTCTCTGGCACATAATAAACACTCGGGGTCATGGTCACAATTTTCAGAGGCTCAATCCTTGCCAAAGCTTTGTGATTCTTCAGCGTAGGCGGGATGGATGTCGGCACGTCCCAAGTATCTGCTCTCCCCCTGCACAAGCAGTGGAGAGAGGCAAAGGCCACACTTATACCTGCGGACACAAGTGTCTAGTTTAGATGCCACAATCTCCTTTTCCCCTTTACAGTCTACAGGGAGACAATACATACAACACCCTTTAATTTAGATATCCCAAGTTGCCTTTGGTGCCATAATGAGCTTCAGCACACAGCTCTAAATCCCATTTAAGGTAACTTGGGTAATGTGTGACAGAGCAAACAAATTCATGGAACACCTAATTCCTACACTGGCTTCCTAACTGTTTGACTTTCCCCTCACCCTCCCAGAACTGTTTTCTCTCCCTTTGACCTGAGCCTGGAGGCTGAATTTGGGGCTGTAGAACCCGGCTTGACCTGACAGGGAGCACAGTGTGATCCTACAGCTGTGGAAAAAACAGGTCCCCAGATTTCTGCTGCTTGCCCTTAATCACTGCAATCTGAGCAACTGCCCTAAACAGAATGTGAGCTCTGACAAGGCAATATATTTAATAAACGTAATTGCTGCCATTAATACAAGCTAGGGAAACATTAAAATGTATCAAGCTGCAGCAAAATTACCCCTCTTTTGTTACCTTCATTTTCCACATCCTTTTTGAAAAGTCACAGTGGAACAACTAAGCAGAACATTGCACCTCTGCAACACACCATAAACAGTGCAAATGCCAGTGAAAGATATGCTATAAAGTAAATAACTTTTCCAATGGAAAGCATAAGTCACCTGTATATTCAACTGGAGAAATCTGTATAAATGGACAGATTGTAGAGGCCGGGGTGTAATCATTATACCAACAAGTCTTACACATTGTACTGTTTCCACTACAATACTTCACTGCAATTATTAGCCTCCTTTTCTGCCAACTCCAAGTTTAACATACCGTCCCCTTGCCAAGGTCTTTTGATTATAAGTAGCAAAATATCACGTAAATGCAAGCATGTGGGGAGCAGATACAGCCCAGAAAAGTGGGCCATTGGGAAGAAGTATTTACTTTTTTCAGGGTCTGATCCTGTACAAACATTTCGTCATGTGAATAACTGCCTATTCAAGAGCAGTTTCTCGAAATTCAAAGAGATTATTAATCTTAAAGGCACAAAAGTAACATCTTGCAAAATCCAGTTCTTGCAAACCTTGTTTGGAAGTTTTAATAGAAACATGGTAATTAAAATAAGAGGTATGTTTTGGAATCAGTTTGTTTTTCGCAAATGTTACATATTGAAACAACAAATTCTCATGCAGTTAACTACTTTTTATCACAGTAAGATTGTGATTAACATGCATGTGTTAAGTACTTATGATTTAATGGATTTCTTTCTAATTTGTGGCTGATCCCAATGATCTGATACTGCACGGGCAGATTTCACAGAAGGAAGGAAAAGGGAAAGCTGGAAATGTCACTACACAGAGTCAGTTCATCATATATATCCCTGGCAGTGTTCAAGGCCAGGTTGGACGGGGTTTGAACAACCTACTTTAGTGGAAGGTGTCCCTGCCCACAGCAAGGGGGTGGAACTGGATGAGCTTTAAGGTCCCTTTCAACTCAAACTATTCTATGTTTATCTACCATTTGCACAGTACCAGTGACTTGGGTAGATGTTCTCTGTTCTGCTGGTGAGACAAGGAGACAATCCCTAGCTCAGCGGCAAAACTCCCATTAACCTCAGTGGAATCAGGATTTCACTTCCTGCAAACTCTAGGGTTCAAAGATGCTTCTCCAGTTACCTTGATCTACAGAACCAGTTTGTGCAGACACCTCTGTGAGTTGCCATTAAGTGCTACTTGACACTGTAGCTGACCACTGAGAAGAAGCATATAGCTGTCTTCCTCCTCTACCAAAAAGGCCTTCCTCTCCTTCAAACAGGAGCATGTCATTGCAACAGATATAATGGCTAGAATGGGACAGAAGCAGTAAAAACTTCATTATTCCCTGGCATAAGCAATCTGGGTGGAAAACGTTTCTTGAGCAACGGCTTGGCAAAATGAGATCCTATCACTAACTCTAAAATAACAGATAATATCCAGGTGAGTAGCACTGATTATCCAAAAAGGCATTTATCACTATAGGATCCAAACCCTCCAAAAAATCACTGCATCGCTCTCCAGAGACACTGATAACTATAACACTGGTGTTATAAGAAGGCTTTCAGAGCAAGGGGGAATGAGACATTGAGTTCTGTTCAAGAGCACACTAGGGAGGACAGAGGCAGATCTGAAGCTTTATCTTTGGAAACCTTCACTTTGCTTTCACTGGACAACTGTCCTTCTGTAATCCAGTGGCACATACTGTCTCTGTGTTGAAGAGAGGTGGATTTGGGATGTGAATTGGAGACACGATGAATATCTTAAGGCTCCCTACCTACTGCAGTGCCATTTGCATGTCTGGCACTTCAAAGGCTGACCCGTGCTTTACGTGGCTGGGAGGTAGCCCTGCATATGAACCACTGCCTTGGAAAGTCAGCCCGGCAGAAGACAATCCCCTGTCACAGAAATGGGGGAAAAGCCTTTTTGGGGGAGTTGTTTTTAAATGGAAGATTAGATTTTGTAGAAAATATAAAGAATTACAGAGCAGTCTGTGAGTTTCCATTGGCTCCTGGCCATGACATGCAAATGAAAAGAAAAAAAAAGGGGAATGAAAACACTTTCAATCATTTTGTTCCTTTAGGAGGGCCCAGAAGCCGTGTGTGTCACAAGTGCCACGTTTCTTTGTTGCACTCCAGCAACCAACACAGATGTAGTGGGGCCAAGAGCTGGATGCTTAATGTTTTGTGTATCTTGGATGTAAGGCTTTGGAAAATCTGCTTCTGAGTTGTACAAATGGTCACCTCATTCTCTGCTGGGAGTTGCATTCCCATTGTTTATTCTGTATTTTTAATACTGACTGTTGTAACTTGTTTAATTTCCTGAGGCTCAGGTCAGCATCATTTAGAAATGCCTTCAGTTGTTGGGGTTAGTTGTTTAGGTTTTGTTTCATCTCATGAAACCTGGATTTCATTTCCCAAATTTCCTTTTTGTCACGCAGACAATGCAGTTATTGATGGGACAATGGAAAAGGGCAGGTCCAGGCCTTGACTTCTCATCTCTTGTTTGTATCGATGCCAGGTGCTGATGCACATCTTTTTTGTTTCTCATTGTCATTGGCATGGGGGATGAAAAGCAAGAACCTTGCTTTTCTTAATGACTTACATTGCCTTCTGTATCACAAGCCTTTCCTAAAACTTTTAATCGTTAAAGGCTGAGCCTAAATCTTATGTTCAGCCTAATTTGTAATCACAGTGACAGTCTCCAGTCAGACAGTGGTACATCATTCCTACTATGAAGAAATCAGTGCCATTTCACTGTATTTCTACCACTTGTGTAGTCATTACTTACTGAACACCGTCATGAGTGCCAAATCATTAATTAATGATGGGGTAATTCATCAGCAAGCCAGAAGGTAAAAACCTGTGAAAGGATTTACATCTAGTCCCAGGACTGAAAACAACAATGAGAAAAGACAAACCAGTGAGTGTCAGAGACAGAAGCATAAACCCCTTTGAAGCCACTCCTAAGTACTTGTTCTAGAGCTACAGCCATTTGGTTTTACACTGCTTTGAAATTTAATACAATTTTAAGCTGGGTACCAAGTTCTGTCCCTTCATGGACAGAAAGGTTGAGGAGTGTATCCAAAACCCATGTCTGTTAAGGAAGCAGAAATGACGAGAGCCCTGCTGATGTATCTCCCCAGCCTCAAAGGGATGCAGACTCCATCCTCCAAACAAATGTCTCCAAATCCCAGTAGAAAGTGGTGTTATCTTAGAACACACTCACAACTTCTATGCCTGCACTTTTCTTACCATGCACTTTATACTCAACTATACTACTTGAGGCTTATCTCTGTGCTCAAATTGCATCACAAAGACAGTTTTGAGGTTCCATCAGGCTGTAGAGCTAGTTATGACTCTGGTCCAGTTGCTTTTCTGAGAGGCTCTGGACACTAAAGAAAACCTGTTGCCCTGAAAATGCATAGCCTAATGCTTTTATCCAGTCAGTGCCCCAGAAGCTCCAGAAAGGAAATGGTATTTGTGGTAACTGTGATAACATAAAAACACAGTCTAACGCGCATCTGGGGTGAAAATGTCATGCCATTGATTCCTTTCTGTTGCCACTATTATAACAACCAAAATAATACCAAGCTTCATAGATAATGATCCCTCTCTAAAAGACTTACATCCAGAGCCCATTTGCAGGTGTAGCTGGTAGTGTGGGGTGATACTCAGTCACTCAGGGTTGGTCAAAAGTACATGAGCCACTCTTGGTTCAGCTACATAATCCTTGGGTAACTTTGGTGAAGTCATCCATGTGCAAGGGCACCATCTGATTTAAAGCACTTAGCTAAGGTCTAAATTACAAATACAGTCAGACCACGTACTTTTCTGTAGTCCCTGCAGAGAGATAGCATTGCTATGCTCAATTCAGACTCAGCTTATCCCCCTTTAGGGTTTCCTATCTCTCCCATTCAACACAAGAGAGTAACAGCATGTAAAATCAGCCCCCTGCTGCAAAGAGGAGGTGTACTATCACCTGTGAAGCACAGATGAGGACTTTCGACTTCATGGGGTGCTCTTAGGTGCTCTGATATTACTTTAGCAAAGACCTCAGGAGCAGATTGATACCCAGCTTGCTGCATATCTGCAGAATTTGACCTTTTGCCCCATAATATGATTTCTCGGTTCAACCATTTTGGCATATCCTGCTGCTCCACTATAGTCAACATACATAATTCAGCATTTCACTGAATTGTGGTACAGAGACTCAACAGGTCGGTGCATGAGACTAAAATCCATCATGGTATTCCAGGAAAATCTGGAGGACAAAAGTGGGGATTGTGAGAATAAAAGCCCAGAGTTATTTAGTAGAGGTTAGCATACTACGTGACAGACATCTCTTCCACCCATGAATGTAAAACGATGCTCTCTGCTCTGAAGGCTTTCACACAGCAGACTGGTGCTTACCAAGGATGCCGTGCTGCTTGCTCACAGGTGTATCTTTTATTAGGGTCCTTCTCCATCAAATTCCGAATGAAGTCTTTAGCTGTAAAAAAAACAGAGTAATTTAAAGCAATAGGTTTGGTGCCCAGTTCTGCTGCCACATGACCAGCCAACAGCACTGATCAGGCTACCAATTGCCACCTGGCCACAGCACCAGGAATAGCCCTGAGTCATTTGTCATTTATTAGCATAGATAGAACCAAAGTGACTTAGAACAAAATCCAGGCTATTTAGTATGGCAGATGAAAGCTGAAGGCATCTATGCCTGCAGGTATATTTAGGAGTGGGATGGATAATAGAGTCAACAGGGTACAAGCCTGCCAGCTACCAGCTCCCTGGTCAGCCACCTGCCTCTGACCAACTCTGTGTTCTGAATATGGCCACAGCTGTTGGAGATGCCGATAAATAGTGGGAAAGGCAAGGAGAACACCACAATAAGAGGCACTTCTTATTGCTCACTCCAAGCAATCACATGCATTGGCAGCTGCAAGGACATGCTGCAGATTTAAAAACAAGATACTGAGGAAAATGGACTCCCTTGAGCATGAGGTAGTGTGTTTTTAATCGACACTCTAATGGAAGGAAGGGAGATTGCAGCATGGCATGCATCCAGTAGTTTCAGGAGGGAGCTCCTGAAAGAGCCACAGCAAAGCCAAATATGGGAGGAAAATCTTTGTGCTGATTAAGGTGATGGACTTTGCCCCAGTATGCAAAGGGGTCTGCCAGCAGACCTTCATACTTTCTCTGAAATCCCTTATGGGCTTAAAAACACTTCTCATCACATATAATTTTAGGCAATCCATCACAGCGATATCTGGACAACAGATGCAAGCAGCATGAAATATTGTTCTATGCAGAGATAACAGGATACATAATCTTTTTTAAAATTAAACACTTCTTTTTATATCTCCCCTGCCTTAATCAGTAGTATTAATGCATCAGAAAACTGCATTTTTAGGGATATTTCTATATGATAAAATATTCCTAGAATTCGTTTCTTCTGCATGAAATGACATACATTCCCACGGGTTGGACAAAGCAAGGACACTGAGCTTGCATGACCGCTTGGAGACCACACGCCATGCCAGTGGCACATGCAGGGTGCAATGCTGAACATGCTCCTGCTGCCACATACAGACAGTGATGCTGGTAGACAATGAGCCATGCTGGAGCCAGAAGCTTGTATAGGCACATTTGCCTGTAACAGGTTGGTGTATCTACCTCTCTGCCAGACTAGAGCCAGAGTAGGCAGGCACTATGGGTTCATAGAATCAAGGAATGGTTTGTGTTGGAAGGGACCTTAAAGCTCATCCAGTTCCAACCCCTGCCACAGACAGGGACACCTTCTGCTAGAGCAGGTTGCTCCAAGCCCTGTGTCCAACCTGGCCTTGAACACTGCCAGGGATGGGGCAGCCACAGCTTCTCTGGGCACCCTGTGCCAGTGCCTCAGCACCCTCATAGTTAAGAATTTCTTCCTAATGTGTAATCTAAACCTACCCTCTGTCAGTTTAAAGCCTTTGCCCTTGTCCTGTCCCTATAGGCCCTTGTAAAATGTCCCTCTCAGGTTTCTTGTTGGCTCCTTTAAGGTACTGGCTACATGTCTTCTGCACTGGGCAAGCACATGGGCAACTATCTGGATCCAACCACGCAGACAGTAATCCCAGTTTCTGAATGTGCTTACCTGATTCATTTGGAAGCCATTAATTTCTTGAGTTCTTTGGTGTATGCACTGCAAACTTGCTTTGGACCTGCAGTGCAGTGTCAGTAACAGATCCAGACTAGTTTGCCACCTTATTATTAACGACACATAAACCACCTGGTTTTTATTTGGATATGATGGAGAAATTAAACTGCTTTGTCTTCTTGGCAGTCTCCTGCTATCTTCATCTTCTATTCCAGCTATGTTTAGCACTTTGTGTAGGGCTGGACAAAATGGTGCTTAATTTGTTCTCCTGCAAAACTATTTCAGCTGAAAGAAATGTACAGTCTCAACAGTTTTCAGTTAAAAGAAACTCCACAGATGGTGGATGGTGCAATCTCACACCCAGAGGAGGATAACTGCAACAGGCACACATGCATGCATGGTTGTTGCAATTAAATGAGCAGTAGCTTCTTACCAGACTCAGAGATGTCGTCCCAATATGGAGAGTCAAACTCATACTCCGCCTTAAGGATCTGCTCAAAGAGCTTGGAGTCATTTTCATCATAGAAAGGGGGATACCCACAGAGCCTAATGGAGAACAAGAAAAGAGAGATGTGACCCTTGGACCTGTCTCTGCCAAGAAGGTGAGAAAGGGGGAGGGAGAAGAAGGAGAAATTCTTGTTTAAGACTTGTCCCAGTAAGTTTTGAAGCAGGCAAGCTCTACCATGACAGAGTTTTGTTCAGGGATGTGTAAACCCACTTCTGAAAATTGGCCGTATCCTGCACAAATTGGAATTCTGCATGATAACCTGGTGCTGTTCATCCTACACTGACATGCAGATATCCTGGCCTGCCTCTGCATGCTTTTGGGTGTTCAGCCAGAGGAGCTATTTTACAGAGACAGAAGCCCTTCTGTCCTCTCCTATACAAGTGGTAAGAGGAGCTTTCATGAGCTACACCCACAGAGCACCAGTGGCATCAGGCTGGCTTGAAGCACCACCCATGATCTCAACATTGCGCAAGAGACCACGGCTGTATAGGAATGTTTGCTGGGCAACTGGGGAGCCACTGGACACCACACTTCTTGGGGAGGAATAGCTGGTGAAAAGCAGGACAAGGAGCCCCATAGAGCTATCAGACAAAAGGCAGTATACACATGCAGGTTTTGCTGGGCTCTGCACCCCCAGGGACAACGAAGATGATGTCTGGGAGTCACTCCACCTCTACAGAAGAGCCTTCATGGGCTGCACAAGGACCTGCTGCTGCTGCTGCAGAGGCACATGGAGAGCCTCTCTCTTTCTCACTTCTGCAAGTGATTTTGTTGCCCACGTCTATTTGCCTATCTTGCCTGTGGCTAACACCAGTCCTGTCCTGGTTTTCAGCATTTATAGTCAGATTTCTCAGGACACCTAGCCCCAGGACAAGCAGGACATTGAACATTTGCCATGTTTGAGCTAAAATACTCAGGATGCATCCTCCCAGTACTGCAGACAGCAGGATAGTCACTGGGACAATATAGGGCTCCTCCAGTCATAGGAAAACCAGATCCAGCACTGTGTTAAGGAAACACAGCCATAAAACTCATGTGTTGGAGATCCCTCATGTCCAGCTGATGCTTCACGCCCTCTCTGTACAGACATGCCAGCAAAGATACCCCTTCCTCAAACTTTAATACCAGTCTTGGTAAGTGCCAGATTTACCTCTGAGGCTTGTTCAAGGTTTTAGCAAACTCATCTTGTTCACAGTTAACACGCCTTTCTGCCCCTATTGTCTCATACAGAGATGATGCATTTTTTTCTCTTATCTCTAATCCATGGTGTAAATCATTCTTTCACATACTGCCCTGATACTGAAATGATTTTCCACTACAGTTTTCTTAAACCCTGAATTAATCAACCTCAATAAAGCATTTCAGTGGAGAGAGCCAGCCATTATAAACAGACTGAAGATCCAGCTGAAAAACTACACTGTAGCAACAACAGAGCATGAGGGGAGAACTGTAAGAAATGAAATACTTAAGTTATTTATAACCCAAAGCCAGCCGGCTGCCCTGGAGGTTATTTGAACCAACTCAACACTTGAGGGTGAAAGGAGCAATGTTTTGTTAGCCCTGAAGAGCCAGTGTGCTTGATAAATAATTTAAATACTGAGATGCTGATCTGCATCTGGTCCATATTGACCTGGAAGAACCCTACTGAAGCCTGCACCATTATAATGAAACTCTGTGATTCAAGTGAATCAGAAATCTCTCTTTTTCTTGCAAAGCAGATGAGCCAGTCCTCGTTTGTGTCACACTGGATGACTGCCATGATCAAAAGAAAGTAAGATAACCTCATGCCAGACAATCATTTACATTCAGAGCAGGGCTGCATGCCTGCTTAATGGGCACAAGCTTGTGTATGGGGCTCAATGCAGCAACTCCTACGTGAAGCCCAGTGGTGGAAGTGGCGTATGAGAAGGTCCATTAAAAATAGTGCATTTAAGCAAAAAGCCACTATATGTCTGGATAATGAAGGAAAAATCTGGAAACTTAATGGAGATACTGGATCCACAACCACGATCCAGCTCTATAGGTAGCTATGAAGAAACTTGCTTCAGCCCTACAGTCTTGTAGGGGGATGCACAAACTGGTTTTCACCTTCCTCCTCTTTTGTCACAACCCTCAAGATTTTGGGTGCTTTACTGAGGGGTTTGGAAATGCTGGAGTTGACAGCACTGCAGCTGGATGGCCATTGGGGTAGAGATGCCAGGGTTGGAGGAAAACAACTCCTCCAAAGGCACTGGGAGCCTGAGCCTCTTCTCTGGGGAACTCAAGGGGCTCTGTAGGAAAAGCCCTCCATTAATTCCTTGCCTTTCTCAGCACTTTCCTTGAACAAACCCAAACTGCTCTGATAAAGCACTTTAAGGCGAGCAGACAGCGCTGTGCATGCCGAGGCACTGGCAGGCTGCTCCAGAGAGAGAAATAACTCTCTTAAAATGTGCACTGTACTAATTACCTTGGCAAAGGTACAAGAGCACAAGTTAGGGCTGCTGTGATTTATACACGCTCGTGGCAGCAAAAGGTAGGCACAAACCACTAAGCAGCACAGAGCTGCAGGGCTATAGCCCTGCTGGAGGGGAGCAGAGAGACATGAGCCCCTGCAAAAGCCTCAGCCTCTCCAGAGCCTTTCAGTCCTTTTCCTGCAGGCATCCAGCTCTTCCCCTGCTCCTCTGTATGGCCTGAGTATCTACACGTCTGGGGTATCTGAGTCTATTGCAGGTGTGTTTGCTGGGAAGGCTGATACATGAGGAAAGCTAGCGTCATGCAGGAAGGTATCCATACTGCTGGGAGCTGGGGACAGGGCAGAAAATAGCCTCTTTGAGCACAGCTTTTCCTTTGCTAGGGAGAGCTTGAGATGTGTTAGTTGCTATGACAGGTTATGGGCAGGGATATTCTTCCAAACCAGCCCCTGCCTGAGAGCACAGTGGTCCTGGCTTGGTCATGATGGGGTTGAACCTCCTGCATATGGGGACTCAAGGATACTCCTCCAGCAGGCAAATCTCTGAGGACTTACACCAGAAAGCATGTGAGAAGGGAGCAAGCTCCCTAGGACAGAGGAGGTGGCATGCAGAAGGGGAACACCAGGGCATCCTGGCACAGGGAGAGGTTGGGAGCCAAAAAATAGGCATTTTTGCTGTCTTTTCCCTTAAAACCAGAGTTCAGGGAGAGACTGAAATTTTAATCTTACTTACTTTAATGTTCTAATGTTACTGGCTTTACAGTAAGGGATGGGAAAGCCCCAGTAAATTACCCTATCATGCAATTTATGGCTGGAGGAAATCTTGTTGGACTTCCAGCAACTGGGCCACGTTCCAAAGTCCATAATAAGCTTTTATTTAATTCTTACAGCATCCAAATCCCACCGACTTCATTTCCATCTGCTGGGACACTTCTGTGTGAAAAAAATGACCTCACTATCAGAGGTTCTGCTGCTTTTCTTCAGATATGCAGAAAGACAAAAATAACCCCTCTGTCTTCAATGTGAAAGAATCCTGCATTGTCATGGGGGAGCTTCAGCACCTCTTGGTTGTCATCATTTTCTCGCAGTTCCTCCAAGTAAAAGCTTTTTGGAATTATTTAGCAACCTTATCACATCAGCGACAGATTTTCCTTTAACCTCCTATTCCCAGTCCTGCCTTAAAAAGAATGGGATTCAGGTAAGAAAAACACAAGTGGATGTACAAAAGAAAGATATTGCCAGGAGTCATTTCTAGAAGCCATCAATGAGATTGCAAGAGGAATACCAGAAACAGCTTCTCTTCATCAGGCAGAGAAAGAAACACCCTGCAAGATCTCATTACATATTGGGGGTGATACTAGAGGCTAAATCACCCATTTGCATGGTCAGTGTACAGCCTGTAATACAGGAGGCACTGGGGTTAGTTTTACAAACAATTTTATAGTGATTAAAGAATTCAGTAAGTGCTCAAAAACCTCAGATGTGTGGTGTGGGAAGTCATCCAAGTGCTATTTATAGGGATAAACACATGTATTTCTTCTTATTTTAGAAACAGACCCTCATACTGGCTGACACTGGTGCCCTTATGAAGCTGTGGACAAGGACATGTTAGCATGGGGAATATAAAATAAACTAAGAAGCAAGCAATGAGGAGCAATCATTTGGGGTTGTCTTCCTAGCATCTGAGTTATCCTGAGCAATCCAACATGCCCATGTACATTTTACCACCACTGATTCTCCTTCCAGTACCAAACTATTAAGTTATTCCTCACTTCCCTGCCTAGGCTTGTGTGTGATGCCAAACAGGCGAGATGACTGATCAGCTTGTTCCAAAATGTGACTCCAGGATGATGGTGAAAACTTCTGGCATAATACTCTTTGCACTGCCCTTGATTAATCCTTCCATACAAACATCATTGATGATTCATGCACATCTACTTGAAAATCAAAAGCAACTTGGCCACAAAGTGTGAAACTATGATCCAAGACTTATCTCCAGATAGTTGTGGTTCATAAATAAGAAACCAGCGATTCTCTGGTCCTACCAGTGAGCAAAATCAGGGGAAAACTCAGGGGAAAATGTGTTCAGCCTACTACAGAAGAGAAAGGAAGTGCTGACAATGAATAACCAGGGACTGAGGAAGAACATTCTGTGGAATGTTCCACGTTATAGAATCACAGAATCACAGAATAGTTAGGGTTGGAAAGGACCTCAAGATCATCATGAGGTCTCACGAGAGCAGAGTAGAGGGCCAGGATCACCTCCTTCGACCTGCTGGTCATGCTCCTTTTGATGCAGCCCCAGGATACGATTGGCTTTCTGGGCTGCAAGCGCACACTGAAGTCGGATCATGTTCATTTTTTCATGGACCAGCACCCCCAAGTCCTTCTCTGCAGGGCTGCTCTGAATCTCTTCTCTGCCCAGCCTGTAGCTGTGCCTGGGATTGCTCCCACCCAGGTGTAGGACCTTGCACTTGTCATGGTTAAACTTCATGAGGTTGGCATCAGCCCACCTCACAAGCGTGTCAAGGTCCCTCTGGATGGCATTCCTTCCCTCCAGCGTATCAACCGAACCACACAGCTTGGTGTCATCGGCAAACTTGCTGAGGGCGCACTCAATCCCACTGTCCATGTCAGCGACCAAGATGTTGAACAAGACTGGTCCCAACACTGATCCCTGAGGGACACCACTCGTTACTGGTCTCCAGCCGGACATTGAGCCATTGACCACAACTCTTTGTGTGCAGCCATCCAGCCAGTTCTTTATCCACCAAGTGGTCCATCCATCAAATTGATGTCTCTCCAATTTAGAGACAAGAATGTGTGGGACAGTGTCGAACGCTTTACACAAGTCCAGGTAGATGACATCAACTGCTCTACCCCTGTCCATCAATTCCATAGCCCCATCACATTCCAGCTTTGGAATATGATTTTCTATTTTTTGCATAAATTATCAAACTTCTCTGTATCAGGTGTGCATGGGATCAGTATTTAAGCTCCCCCATCATGTGACCCAGACAGATCAAAAATCTGTCTGCTGGAAATCCAGTGAAGTTTCTTGCTCTTCTTATGCTTTGTTTTTAAGCTGAACATGTTATCAGAACTACCTTGTGATAAGTAGTAAACCAAGCCCAACAGTGAGGCTGTTTCAAATTGAGAAATACTGCAACTGGAATAACAGGAAATCTCAGGCTGCTAAAATTAGTTTGTGTGAATAACAATTTCTCATGCAAAACAGGCTTTGATAAAAACTCCACTGGTGCAGCCTCTGCAATCTGGCTGTCATTAATAAGCGGCATTAGAGACTGGCTCTGAAACAAAGGTATTTTTTCCTAAGACATCCTTCACCTTGCACATCACAGAAACAAATATTTGTCTAGATAGTCAGTACCACAGAAACAGTTTGTTCTTCCAGTGTCATAAACTGCAGGCTCTCATGTGAAACTGAGCTTGTGTCTGGAGGCACTGAAACCACCTGCAGTAATAATAGCTCAAAGCATCTTTAATTTATGCCTGGCTTCTGTGTTGGATTCCCTTGAGTTTCCATCTTCTTAAATGACAACAGTTTGTTCAGAGTGGCTGTGAGGATCTATGGGAGAGGTGAGGAGGTGATGGAGGATGATGTGCTTGGATTGCCCCATGCATAAATAAGTCTCTGACTGTTTTGGCCATGTGGAAGTAGCTCCAACTGTGCTGGCTGTGGAGCTAGAAATGATATCTCCAGATGGGTATGGCGTTATATTGGAATTAATAACTCCTGCTCAGGGCAGGATTAACCACTAACATTTGCATCAGGATGGCTATGCTGCTGATGCTTGTGGCACTCAGCACAATGCTACACTATGAGCATGCTGGCTCTCCTACCTCCAGTGTCCTGAGACAGCAAACCTAGATGTTAAACCTGTGCCCATCACTGGTGGTATCAGACACCCCAGCAGGGCTACTTCCTTCTAGATTAGGGAAGGATCCCTCTTCCTCTCTACCTTTAATGTACCCTTGACTTCCACTTTCTTATGAGGCCATGTCTGCAGTTTCTATTCCTGGAAGTAAGGATGAGATCCAGTTCAAGATTAGAGTACATGGGATGTTGGTTGGGATTCTAAGCTCCCATTGCATTCAACAGAGATGGAATCAGTGGAGACTGGAAAGTGATGCAAATTTACCATAAAGCAGATGAAACCATGCTGTGAAGGCAGGGGTCTGAGTACGGAGCAGGATGTGATCCAGTAGCCTCAGCATGGGCATCTGGTGCTAATTGACACTGTCCACAGTCTCCCACTTGGCCTCCATCTGCCACTCCAGAAGGAAGGTTTCTGCAATGGGTTACACTTGCCAAATCCATATGGCTGTCCCGAACACCCCAGTGTGGCACTAAACATGTAATTCTTGGTGACTGAATGGCTCTTGCCGGTGAAATGACTGCTGGGTTGAGGTGCCCACACATAGAGCCCAGTGCCACTGGAGAAGCTGCTGAATGCGCAGGACCCCTGTTCCCAGATGGCAGATATGCCATGGGGCTATGCAGGGCTGGACTGTCTCAGCCATAGCTTGAGAGCAGGTAGGACACTGTATGTGACTGAAACGGCACTAAGTACCTACATTAGGGTAACCAAAGTGGGCCTTAAGTGCCATTGACTGTTAAGAGGAACTGAAGGACGTAGCTCACATGCAGAAATGTTTAGGGAGGTAGTTTGGTCTCAGACACAATCCCACCCAAGGAGTAAAAGTCTGGCAAACACATTACCATGCTCCTTGTACAGCAACACATTATTGCCATTCATTTTGAGTGTACATAATACAAATCAAGTCTTTATTATATGAAGCACAGAAACCCTGAAAACCTTTCCTTGTCTTGCAAACAGGAATTCATAGGAACTCATTCTTATTAAACTGTTTTAAGCCTTTGGGTTTGGGAATTCCCTGTACAAATGGGGAATTTAGATTTGAGGAATTGAATTTAGATTTGAGGAGTGATCATATGCCTTGCTTGACAACCCCAGCACATGCTAATTTGGAAAATAGAGAAGGAGAAGACTGAGTTGAACCATGCAGTATGATGAGATTGAAGCTGTTCGCTGATCAAAGATGTGTTCATAAACTGGGTGTGGAGGACACATTACTTAGCACTGTCTCACCCATATTCCTCAGCAAGACACATAAAAGCAACAGTGAAATAACAAGAAGTCTGCCAGCAAAAAAGACCTTTGCGGTATGAGCCATGGTTGAATGGGACTGAAAGCTTGGAAGCAAGCAAGGCCAAGTTTATCTCCAGGCAACCAGGATGCAACAGTTCACAGCCCTCCTGTGGGCTGCCAGATGGAGGCAGTATTTCATGTGGATATTTGACAATAAATGGAACCTAGGCAGCAGCTGAGCCTGGAAGTGAGGCAGCATACAGCTCTCTTCCTCACTGCATCCTTCTTCCTCACTCTCTCTGAAGCTGGTACTCAGTAAAGTACTACAAAAGCAACACAAATGACTCTATCTCACTGTCCTGCCATGGCTTACAAGGACCAAAAAGTCAAAACCCCAAACCTTTGGCCTTCCATGCTCAGGTTTGCTTGTGGGAAATGGTAGGTTTGGGTCAGCACACACCATCCTACAAAAGAGAACTTGGGAATGTTGTGTGAAGCAGCCTCTGAGGTATTCTGGCATTCCTGCTGTCTTCCTCCCAGCTGTAGCATGTCCCACTGGGCTTTGCCATAAAGTCAGAATCAGCACTGTTGATTTTTGCTTTATTTAGCAAAAGCTTTTTGCATCCTACTCTCCATGGCTGCTCCAAGATAAATCCATCCCCTTGCAAAGTTTCGTACTCAACGAGTTTTCAAATATTCATGTAGGTTGGAAAGCCACTCGTAAAGCTGATGTTTTTAGGCAGGACTTGGTTTTAAACACATAAACATGCATGCAAATAAATGAAGCCTTCCTATACTATCTTAATATATATATAAAAGCTACTTTGGGTAGCATGTAACTTATGATTAAGACGAAATGAAAGTGTAAAGAGTAAACATTGCACAGAGTGGATAATAGAGCAATGAAGTTTGTCCTGGCAAAAATAGTTCTACTACACCATCGAAAAGCTATTCATGTTGACAAGCCACTAAATGTTTGCATAAGGAGAAAGGGAACAAAGTAGGAATGCTTTAATGCTGTGCCTCATTGGAGCTGCTTTTTCCCCCAGTCTTGTGTAACTGTGACAGTTGTGTAAAAGGGAAAAACAGAAAAAGGGAAAGCACTGGTAATGCTGGCATGAAAAGACATTCGTTTCTGTGGCAGTCAACAGCTACACAGCAGCTCTGTGCTCTCTTGCACGAAAGGAACAGGCTTCTTGTGCACTACACAGTCAAAAGCCTGACCTCCTCTCAAAGACCCACATGAATAGGTCCTCCTTCAAAGTCTGCTAGGCTATGTAGATGCAACCTATGCAACTGTTATTTGAATGACATGCATGGACTCACAGATCCAAGAGCATGGACTACCCCATCCAGACAGGTTCACAGTCAGCAAGTTCTGCATTTCCTTCTCAACCCAAATACTAGCAGTGATTTCATATAGTCATGCATATATTTCATACACTCATGCACACAGAGCTGGATTCAGATCATGGTGCCCAGAAATGTTAGGGGCACCCTTCTCTGAGCAGTATTAATGACCCTTGGTACCAGGATATCCCTGTTACCACAATGGCCAGGACACATCTGCAATCCAGTTGTTGCTGGTGCAGGAGGTGGCTTACCTGCTTTCATGGCTTAAGTACTGAAAGCTGCCCTTTTCATGGATTACGAGTTTGGTCTTTGAAGGATTTCAAGACCCAACTGGAAAAAGCCCTAGACAACCTGGTCTGACTTCAAGGCCAGGACTTCCTGAGGTTCCCTTCAATCTAAATTATCCTATTAACCCTTTCTGAAGAAGGATGGCAGGTACTGCATAAGGACAGGCACTTAAAATCTCCATAAACACGAGTAGTGAGATCTATCCACCACTTTGGAAAATGCACAGAAGTCCTGGTCCTGTAGCTTTCTCAAGCAACCAGTCCCTACTTCTGTAAGCAGCAAATAGCCCCATTAGAGGAGCAAGCCCATACTATTGCACATGGTTTAGTTCAGCTTTTGAAGGGTCCTGGCCATTTCCTACCACTTCTGTCCAACTTTCAGCCTTTGTGTAACTGGAAAGTGTCCAGGGTTCCTGTTATCCTGGGTCACAATTGCCAGAGATTAACTTTTTTGGACAGACTAAGAGGGGAACAATGTGGTGGAAAAGCATGTTACCTGTGATTGAAAACCCAACAGATACTCACAGGATGTATGCGATGACCCCAATGGACCAGCAGTCCACAGCTTTGCTGTAGGGTTTCTGGGCCAGCACTTCAGGAGCTGAAAACACAGAGCCAAATGAACACATTACAACATCAAGCATTGAAAGTGGCCGAGAGGTAGGACCCTGAAACTTGAAGCTCCCTGAGTTGCCCTCCACATACAGCCCCTGGATTTGTAAATATCCCTAGTTTTTTGAAGTTTTTTGAAGATATTCACAAGGACAACTCCTGATGTGGAGCAAATTCCCCATTTTCTGACTAAGGACAGAAAGCCAACCCAATAAACTACATCTGCAGGAGAGGAAGGAGAGCTGTCACCATACCTCCCAAAGCCTGCCTTCCAAAGCCTGATGCATATCAGATTCAGAGGGAGTAATTTGTCCTCTACCTCTGGGAACACAGACACCTCTCAAAGGAACTAAGCCTTCTGCCACTATAGATTTCAGCCACCATAGTCTGAATTCTGCTAGAAGTGAGAGCCTGGGCATTTATTGAAACTCTGTGGGTCTGCTTTCCCATTTTACACCACTGAGAGTTAAAAAGATGCATGTTTTTGTTTGGGAGCCTGGAGTATTATGTTTTCCCTGCTGGGACCTTTCACTGCAAATGCTTAAACCTAAATTTTAAACCCTTGTGAGCCTATAATCTTTTTCATGTAAAGAAGCTTTTGCTTTATTCAAAGCAAAATGCCCACAACAATGCAAGAAATCACTGACTGCGGCATTCCTAATGCAGACTTGCCACACTGGGCTTTAAAAAGCACAGTATTTCCTCTGAGTACATTGGATTTTAAATGGTGCAAAGAAATCAAGAAGGGGCAAGTCCCAGCAAAAATATTCCTTTGGGGTTACACCTTTCTCTGCTAGGAGTCTTGCCAACATCAAAGCAGTCAGGTACATGAAGAACTGCAAAACGGAATTGTGAAGCACATAAACGTATTAAAACTTGAGCCTGACATTTAGTTGCTACATATGCTTTGGTGTATTGGTAAGGACTCTTCAAAAGTCAATAAAACTAAGGTCAAAACTGCCAGCAAGGGAGGGAACAGGAAAACAATAATGAGAAACAGAAAAGACTTTCTGGCTCATGGGCATAAGAATTTATAAGAGACTGAAGGGAAGACAGTGCACAAGGCAGAGGAGGCCATCCGGGCTTTCTACATGATGGAATGGGAATGCGAATGAGGGAAAGGGTGAAGTCACACTGAGCACACATTGTAAAAAGGAAGAAAAAACAGGGGAATGTTGGTAAAAATATAACTGGCAGACAGATTATGAAGACCCGAAGACTGGGATATGCCCCAATCTGCAACACAGGTTACATATGACCCCAGTTTTCAAATCATCAAGAAAACTGGGACCACGCCATAAGAAGTTAAAATTCTGGTTCTGTTCATATATTGTTAATCCTAAACCACTGTTGTAATGTGTGAATATACTTACCCACTACATCCCAAAGGAGTTTCTTTCTACTGTACCTTGCATGAAAGTCTCCTTACCTGGCCCTCAGTGGCAGAAACCTGCACCCCAATTCCTTAGAAGCCCCTGACTTTTTCCAGAACATGGGCATGCTGCTGTAATGTGCCAAGATAAAGGTTAAACTATTCTTGCTACAACAGGGGACAGAGTTGTGGAAATATAGAAAGTACCTACAGTTGCACCCAAAATGCTGGTGCCTAAGTGTAACTCCTTTCCTAATGGCTGGGTCAGGGTCTGTGTGTCAGCTTGCTGATAGTCAGGCTGGCGGGGCTGAATTTGAGGACAAACTTGGGATAGAAGAATAAAGCACCGAAGATCCGTCCTGTTTGGCCTGCTACTGCCTCCCAGGTAACCTGGCAAGATGGGACAGTCTGCCAAATTTATATTTCTCCTGTACAAAACAGTTGTTGCTCAAAGTTGCTCAAGATGACCTTCCCAGACAGCTCTTGTGTCCCTTAATCTGACTCTTTCCTTCCCAATTCATCAAAATTTGCCTCCAAGTTTTCCTCTAAAAGGAATCCTTTTTTCAAAATGTGCATCAAATGGGGTTTGTGAGACTCTTGTTTCCTTTTCGTTCCATCCCTTATGACTGAATTTTGTGACAGAATATGCAGACAAAGGGAGTTAAATTCTCCCCATTCTTAGGTGATCAGATGTCTTCAAACTCTCCACTCTTGCAAAATTCCCGATACTTTATTCACATATCACTTCTATCTTTGACTGTCTGCTCTTGTTTGCACCATTTTCAAGACTGGTAAACATTATACATCTCCTATCCCCACAGAAAAAATTATGCAAATGGATCCTGAGCACCTCAGATCCTAGTGAGCTCCTGACATTATACAGATAGGGCACATTAACATAATAGAAAACAAATCTGAGACAAGGGGGTGTGAACTATATAAAGATTCTCCTTCTTAAAGCATCAAAGCTGAGCTGGGGCATTTCTCTGAGTTTTAAAGAAGTGAAGAGCACTTGAAACAGTTGCTGCTGTGGATGGTAGGTGTGAAGCAGGTAAGAACCCCACAGGATCAAGCCTGAAGCAAACATGAGGCTACTACACCCCCTTTGGTAAACTAAAATGGAAAAAAGGCAGGAGGTTTAAATAATTGTTTTAAGGCCAAATGTCTGCTTTTGATTTTTGTTCCAAGGAGCAGACATGCAACAGGAACAGGAGAACATAGCTAAGCATCATCTGTCTCTGATATATGAAGACAGAAATATTTAATGAGCTGAAAAACAAGTCAAAGGAGCTCTCAGAAATGATGGCAGATCAGTGCCAAGAGGCAAAAGCAGAAGATGCAGTGAAAAAAATGCATGAGCTGATGACATTAAAGGATCAACACAGATGGCTGAGGAGGCAAAACATCAGTAAGGAGAAGGGGAAAGTCAAAGCTCCCACTTCTAGTGCTGGGGTGATGCCAGCTGAGCAAAGGCTTCCAGTATTGCACCTTCCCAGTGAATGACTGTGGGCTCAAATGCTACCCAATGGTCACCCAGAGACAGAGAAGTCAAAGCAGCAAACCTGGACCCTTCCTCCACATCGGGGAACTGTGTTTCAGACCAAATCAGCATTGCTACTAGCAACATGTGGCAGGTAAAGTGTTGGGTAATAGTCCCAGGGCCTCACCCTACCTGCAGGTACACGAAGATGTGCTTCCCAGGCCAAATGATGCGGTGTTTCACAGTTAGATATTTTTTTATTTATATTATTTATATATATATATATATTATATAATTTTTATATATAACTTATTTTTATAGATATTATCATCTTATTTTTATATTTGTTTAGTTATATTTTGCTTTTAATACAAGAAAAAATAACAAAAGGCTTGTTTCAAATGGAGGTTTTAAGAAAAGGCACAGAACAGGGACCTTTGGAAACCTTTCAGAGCACTGTGCCAATACCCCCAGTGAGCACAGCTATGCTAATAAGCTCCCTGAAAATGCAACTGATGGATGCCAAAACCAGCAATCCATGTTCCTGCAAAAAGCTCAGGTGGTGGGGATTGCTCTGATACTTTAAGCCTGCTGAACAAACTGTACAAGTCATGAGGGTGCCTGTTCTCACACCAGCCTTACAGTTAAAAGTGATTCTCCTTCACTCCCAGGATGGTGCTGCTCCCAGCAGATTTTGTCGTCTCATAAGAACTCAGTCTAATGCTGTTTGCTGTGGTTTATATGGCTTCCCACAAGCTGCATGCCAGAAGGAACCATGCATTTGAACAAAGGGTGAAGATTTTGATGATCCCCATAGGAGTTACATATCATCAGCCTGTCATAAATGTAGGAGGAATATAAATACCTAAATAGGGTTAAAATGGTCAGGCACATGGCTCAGCTGGCCACACAAATTGGCCTGGTGCAAGCCACAGCTGGTGGTTCAGCTGATAACTATTTTAGTGCCAGTTTCCATCATGTAGGCACATCCTGTAAGTAAAGAAGGGGAAACATGAGTGGGCTGCACATGTATGAGATGGCCAAGAAATCCAAGAGGGAAGGTGAGAAATGGGCAGAATTTGTAAGGGACAGAAAAGGGAGATAGTGCCAGCCTCATCATTTAGGACTCTAAGGTATCGTCTCAAGAAGTTGAACAGAAAGGAACAACCATTGAGAAGATGGTTGGATACATGAAAGGCTAACCCAGCCCTTCTCCTGAAGCCAAAGATGGTGCAGGGGCAGTGTGAGCTTCTCAGTCACAATATAAAGTGTCTTCCTCACAGTTGCAAACAGGCTAAGAAGCATATAAAGCAGCTTCATTGCCAGACCAGAGTCCCTCTTTCACTGACTCCTGGGATGAAAATGACTTCTTTCCCTTTTTTCACAAAGTCCTCCAGGTTCATCCAGTTCTGGTTGGACAAGACTTTGAAGTTTGGGGCTGCTCCCGAAGGACAGCAGAGTTTCAGTGCAGCCTGAAGTTGCTGGCTTCTTGTGCTCCTGTTGTCCCTATTTCATGTTGCTGAGTCAGATACAGGTAGGTTTCATGGACCGTAATGCAGCTACAGCCACATCAAGCAACCTCCTTCAGGATACGGCAATGAAGCTGAGCAATTCCACTGTCACAAGCTTGTGCCTGAGCAAACCCTGGTGACAGCAGCTCCCATGCTTTATTTTTACTTTATTACTCATGTTACTGCCTAAACAACTCCTGGGGTTGCTTTTTGCTAATAAGGATGTTTCAAAGGCTTATTAAATATTTTCAAACCATTGACTCAAAGTATATTGAATAAGTCAAAATTCAACATGGGAATCTAAATGCTTTGGTCTTGCACAGGGCTAAGAGAAATGCATGGCTCTGATATGTTCTGAAATTGCTCCTGGAGTTCTGTCAGAGCTGACAGTTGTGAAATGACCTTTCATAAAAGCACTGCAGAAAATAAAAGCAGTGAATGAGGTGGAGTCTGTAGTGACAGGACAAGGGGTAACATGTTAAAACTTAAACAGGGGAAGTTTATAATGGATATAAGGAGGAAGCTCTTTACTGTAAGGGTGCTGAGGCACTGGAATGGGTTGCCCAGGGAGGATGTGAATGCTCCATCCCTGGTGGTGTTCAAGGCCAGGTTGGACAGAGCCTTGGGTGAGATTGTTTAGTGTGAGGTGTCCCTGCCCATGGCAGGGGGGTTGTGATACTGTGATGATCTTAAGGTCCTTTCCAACCTTAGCTATTCTATGATTCTATGACAAACCACACAGCCTGGGTCCAGCCCAATTCCTACAACAGGGAATTGCAAGAATATTTTACTAGAAGTTGGGTTGGGAGTCAGAGCAAGAATTTTAAATCTCAGTAGGACTAAGATACCAGCCAGCAAAAACACATAGTTCCGCATTTCTGCAAAGGAGATTAGGCTGCCCAAGACAGGCTTTCTAACATCTTTTCCTAAGTTTTCAATGCTCCTAAATGTCTTGCAAGTCTAAGTCCCATCTACAGAAGTAACTGAAGGTTTTAAGAGACCAGCTCTCACAGAAAGCCAGTCAGCGAGACCCAATTCCCAAGCAGCAAAATCTCTTCTGAGGAAGGAATTTGCTGAGTGACTGGATTTGCCTCCGGGTGAGCACCCAACTTGACACACCTCAAGGATGAACTCACTTTCAGGCAGTTTTGAACACCTTCTTCAGGTTCTTATAAATGGTCTCATGCTGAGTAGCCCAAATCTATAATGTTTAAACTGATAAATCATTTATGGCTTACACAGATCTTGCCCATAATCACACTCAGGGTTTTGAAAAACAACACTTATCCAGTGTAAATGATGGGGTGGGATCCATGCAAGCCACTCCACACACCTAATCTGCAATCAAATGAGCCACAGAAGCTGCCTCATCTTAACGCAATTTAGGTGCTATCTAAAAGTTGGTTGTTTAGTCCCAACTCACCACCTAGACTCCTTCCATAAGAAAGAGAGAGTTGAGTGGTAAGCAGATAAGAAAATGGAACACCTTTTCAGTATAAGAAGCTGCATTATCAGATCCCTCTTCAGTGAGTAAACATTTAGATTGGCATCTTAACAAAAGTGGCTCAACTAATTGTACTGAATTATCCTAACCATCGCCATCGGACCAAAATATCTGACAAAACTCCTGAAGGAATAAGATCCCTGAACTGTTGACAGTAATTTAATCTGTAAGGCAGAGCTTTAAAAGCTAATGTGCTAATGAAGTACTGGTTATGCACATTATAAATATACTCTAATTTGATAAGTAATAATTTTGTCTTCAGAAAGTGATATTTATCGAGAAGCTTAATTATAATTTCACTCTCCCTTACTCAATGAATTTCCAAACCACATAAACAGGAGTTTAGTGACTTGGGTACCATTACTCTTTGGAGGTGAAACCAAGAAAAGTTGAGTTAAAATCTGAAATTGAAAAGTTGAAAGTACATCCTATTTGAGTTGAAAGTACATCCTATTTGGGGAAATCAGATAGAAATGACAGGAGGGTTTATACACTTGGAAATACTTGGTCAGCAGACATGAGTTAAGAGCAGGTCTGCTACCAAGTCAGAAGCTTGTCTAGCACTTTGCATAGTTGGATCTGACTGGATCCATTTCTGGAGATGAAGTATAAATAGTAGCAGATACTAATGACTTCTTAACAGAGCCCTGGGTGCCTTTGACATGTGATACGTGCCTACATTTTTCCAAGTCATGGAATTGTAAAATAGTTAGGGTTGGAGAGGACCTTAAGTCATTTAAAAGCAAAGTGGTTAAACTGACAAAAATAATTAATTTCTCATGAAATATTAGAAAATGGGTGTTCTACATATCTGTAAAGAGAAACATCAGGAAATGCATTGTAAGTGATGAATCTCTGCGTGATACTTCCACCCTACGTAAAATGGCTTGGAAAAAAAAACACACAAAGGTGGCAGACAGGACACTACATGGGCCAGCACTGTGGCATGTGCCCCGATCCAGATGAGGACACGTATTCATGTTGTGCCATTAGGAGGAAGGACTCTTACATTTATTTGGGGCATGAGGCAGGTGTTGCAAATTGGAGTGATGCTGAAAGGCAGGAAAGCTGTCAGATGTGTACAAACTGCAGACCACGTATGCAGAAGCCATGTCACCAAGGAACCACATTTGTGGGCATGACCACAGTGACCAGCAACAAAAATTTTCTGTGTTTGGAAAATGTTGTCTGGGCAACCAATTATAAATACTAAAAAGAAATAATAAAAGCAGCACTAATGAGGAGCTGTCTCCTGTTCAAAAAAGAAACAGAACAAATATTTAAAGAGGTTTTCTTTGTGAGAGAGGGGAAAAACTCATGTCAGCACTTCAGAAATAAGCGTCCATGACCTCTTGAACCATGGGGAATAAAATCCTGTGTTCAGTAAGGTACCAACAGGCCTGGAACACTTGTGTAGCTACCAGCCACCAGACGATGGGTAATGGGAGCTCTCAAACCTCTCTCAAAGCACTACAATTTGTGTCACATGCTCTGAGAGCTTCCTCTCCAAAATAGCAAGTTTTGTTGAGTAAATGGCCACGCAGAGAGACCACGAGATCACCCAGTGCCCAAGCAGAGGCACGCTCCCTCATTTTCATCAGCAGATATCATCTGAGCTTCCCTGTGTTTGCAGACTATTCTAGTCAGTGCCCATTTCAGAACAAAATCAAGTCTGTTAATTAAAGACAGAAGAGCTGAGAGCTAAAATTATGAAAACTGCTGCCTCAGCTCAATTCCTTCTAGTGCTTTGGAAGAAGATTTCCCGTCTGGTGTGATTATACATGACAGCTATTCAGGCTCTACAGAGTGCATCCTGACTCACATGGCTTAAAATAAAACGATGAGCTGATGGCTTCATAAAATGGGAAACCAGAGAAAACTGTTCCTCTGCCTGATGTTATAGAGTGTGTCTGTGCAGTGTGAAGATAATGCCCAGAAAAAGGTATTCCTGAGACAAATTTGGATCACTGTGTCATAACTACATAATCTTTTTGAGTTCTCACACCATGGTATCATCAGAGCTGTGAAAACAGGTGAGGTGGCAGCTGAAAAGCAAAAGGACGCTCTGACTGCTGGAAAACATTGATTTTTTTCCTGCTGGAAAGGTACGAGACAGATCTATCCCCAGGGAAGCCACTGTAATTTTAGTTTCAAAGATTTCATGGATACCCCAGAGATTCATTTTACAGTCTCAGCTGACTAGCTCGGTATCATAGGAGACAGGCTTTCCAGATGCACAAAATGAGTCTTTTAAATAGTGTTTACTCAAACAGACCCTTCTCACATTCATTTACTTCAACTTTTTAAAAGGATGCTGGTAAAGACACTGCTAGTCGGAAGCCTGGTACAACCACTGCTGAACGGACAAAAGAGCAAAGAATAAATGACAGGAAATAAAACATGTCTGAATAAACTGAAAGAGGGTAGATTTGGGTTAGATATTAGGCAGAAGCTCTTCCCTGTGAGGGTGCTGAGGTGCTGGCACAGGGTGCCCAGAGAAGCTGTGGCTGCCCCATCCTTGGCAGTGTTCAAGGCCAGGCTGGACACAGGGGCTTGGAGCAACGTGCTCTAGTGGAAGGTGTCCCTCCCTGTGGCAGGGGTTGGAACTGGATGAACCAAAACATTTTGTGATTCTATGAAATTTAGCTCTTACATTTTAATGGTTTCTATCACAGGAATCTGGATATGCTATCCTTTATGCTTAAAAATAATGTGTTACATTATGTAAAGCTTTTTGGTCTTAAATGTGCTTGCAGAATCAATACATTTGAAGCTATTCTTCATGTGTCCTGACTTAGTTACAGGGAGTGTCTTTGAGAAGACTCATTCTGCTATGGACAAAAATCACAGAAGTCAACCCTAGAAAAGCAGAGCTGGATTGCAGGATTCTCCCCAAGGAGAAAACCACACAAGACAGAAGACCAGCAACTTTTGGTATCTAATGAACATCTGTAAAACCTCTTTTTCATTATGTAGTGGCATTAGAAAACAACTATTATTTCTTTTCACACTGTGTCTGTACTGCATCTGGGAGAAGTGGACAGACAATATAACCAAACCTCTTACCAACATAGCCAGGAGTCCCACAGGCTGTGGACATCACATCTCCTTTACCCTCCATCTTTGACAATCCGAAGTCACTGATCATGATTTTTGATTCTTCATCCTGGCTATAGTAAAGCAGGTTCTCAGGCTAGAAAGGAGAACAAACAAAATGGGTTTTGAATATTAAAGTTCAGTAATAACATCTGCTGGCTTATGTGTTGCATTTAATAGAATCCTTAGTTACATCATACACTAATAAAAATTGGTTCCCTTAAATCCTAAAAACCTGCTCTTATAACTTATATGGAGATTCTCTCCAGACTTTTGTATAGCAACTAATGGAAGAAGCTGATTCCTTGGGCTTTGAGTAACTTTCATGGGATAACAAACTTCTCCTTTAGCACTTCAAGTAAGAATGAAGTCTTCTGCGTTGCTTGTGAGATGTCTGACAAATTATCATTTCATAACAATAAAAAGAAGGATTCATTTGAAGCAGGTAAATACGGTAAATCCAGGTAGCGTAATGAAATTGGTTTATACAGCATTTAAGTAAAGAAAAACAGTTGCTATTACAGAATTCTTCTATCTTCTCCACTGAAAATAAACTGTTAGGAGAGAGGAAATGCCTTTACAGTTAACAGACTTGCAGCAAAGATGTTTTAACTAGAGCCAATTAGGAAAAAATCCTACAGCACTAGGAAGTACAGCAACTTGTTTATGCTGAGAGAAAACAAGAACACGCCACAAGCCCCTGCGACTTTATAGCAGTGTCAGGCAGGTTGGAGAGATCAACCAGCCTCCATTTGCTACACCATAGTCCTTCATCTGTAATACCACTGCTACACTGCAAAGCTCTCGCTAGGTGTTGTGAGAGAACATCTCTTTCCCTGCTTAATATCCAGGCTCACAAAGAGGTCCAGCATCGGTGGCACTCGGACAGCCTGCTGGTAATGGCTGCCACTGTACCACCCAGACCTTGGGATCTTCATCTATAAAAGTGATGGATACCCAGCGCTTCAACATAACCCTGGTGTAGAGTTTTGCCCAGAAGATGGTAAAATTGCACATTGCCATGCAACACATTTTGTCTATCATCCTGCTGTGTGCTCCAGCTGCAGCCACACAGCATCATCAAACTCCCTGGGACACATCCAAGCCTGGATTTGTAAGGAGGAATAACTGCAGTGCAATAGCACCAGCATCTGTCTTCCCTCCTTCATCGCCACAATCTCCTGCTCTGGGGAAAGGGGAGACAAAGAAGTTCTGCGGTTGACGCTGCCCCTATTCTACTCTGAGGTTCCCATTCAGCTTCAAGTGGAGGTTAAAGCACTCTCTGGCACCCCAGCCCCCACATGAACCCACGTAGTGGCAGTTTTATCCATGTGACACAATGGCCACGAGAGGATCTACAATCTGCACCCACAGCTGTGAGCCAGCTGGGACTGAGGCTAACAGGGAAACAATTCTGTTCATGAAAATAAATATGATGTTGTGCCATTTATGTTTCTTTCTCATGATAGCTCCTGAGTTCCGTGCTTTAACTGGCTGTTATAAAGCTGACACTTCGCTGCATGAATCCGTTTTATACCATGGTCTGCCTTTGGTTTAAGTTACTCCTGACCTTTACTAGTGCACTTCTGACCTGCTGAGGGGTCGGCAAAGCTGGTATTAAGTGAAAGACAATTATTTCCTAACAATTTTTTCTAACTCACCTCAGGTTCCCACTTATTCCTATATAGCAAGGCTGAGAAACCTACCCATTGAAAACCTAAACTGGTTTAAAACCCTCTGGTCTTTCAAGCTTGCTAATTCAGAAAGCATTAATGAAGTGGCTCTGTACCAAGAGGAGTTGCTTGAACCTTTCAGTCGTTTTGTACATTCTGGACTTCCGTGGACCTTATGTGCTTCCATCACTTGTTATCTGATGCCGTGTTACTTAGATTAGAGACTTGGAGCCCAGATCTGCTCTTCCCAGCTACAGCAAGTACTATTTTGGTATCTGAATAACACATAATTACAATAAATAATTGTTATGGATGTTTCATGGGTTGTATTTTTATAGAATGGATTCTTTCCCAGAAATTTGTTTTAGGGATCAAGATTTGAAACTTATGCTTATCTTGGTATTTTATCCCTATTTTTGCCATCATGGTATGCTTGTGCTAACAGAAATTCTCTGCAGGTGCTCCTCATATGCCATATTTTATGAGCCATTTTAAGAACTGATACAGTACTGACAAAGACTTGCAAACAAAAGAAAGAGAGAGAACAAAAGCAAGTCTTTGCCCCAAAATACCCCTGGAGAAGGTTGGTTTGATCTAAATTCAGCATGTCCTTACATAAATTCTGAAAGTAATTTGTGGATGAGTCCACTTCCCAATTACCACACCTCATATTTTATTATAGGAACTTTTTAATAAGATTAATGTTTTAAAGTGGGAGCTACAGCTTCCCTTTAAATTACAAAGACAGTAATGCTATTAAGAGCTTGTACTACAGAACATCTGAAGGCCACAGCATCAACATCCAAGGAAATTCTTGTTTGGAGCATCCCTTCAAAACACAACCAGAGGTATTTTATTCACTGAATTCTTCATTTCTAGCAGTAAGCTTTGGTGGAATTAACTAGCTCAAAAACTGAACCCACAGTTTTCTTCTAACATTTCCATCTTTTTCTAATGTTTTCTGATAATTAATCATTTAAGATACTGAAGATGTGGAGGCTTAGCTGTGTGTTATGAAATCCAAGCCTTTCTGCTTATCTTAATGGCAGTTTAAGAAGGAAACAATACAGAAATAATGTTTTGGTTTGGGTTGGGTTTTTTTTATGTAATAACATGGTACAGCTGAAAGGAAAATTATCTGAAAATCACATTGGCACCCAATGATCCTTAGAAGAATCCTTGCTGTTAACAGTGCCTTCAAAAACACTGGTCCAAATAGCACAATAGGAAATCATTCAACTTTCCCACACTGTTTATTGTTACTAATTATTATTAAGTAAAAGTAAATATAGCCCAGCAGATCTGCAAAATACTTTACAGCAGTAAACACTTACATCCCAGCTGAGTTTCCTGCCTTAATGGAACATTTCAAGTCTTAATGAATGACTTTTTCCCCACACCCATCTGTGCAGAACTCCCATTGTAACAGCATTAATTGCAAAGGCTTCATTAAAACCAATTACATGGGGAGGCTTCAGAGCATCCCTCTTACTGCAAAACCTTCCTGAAACAGCCAGTCCCAGGGGGGGCTGGACTTAATATCTTAGACTCATATAATTATACAACTTTCATTAACATTTCTCAGAGGACTGAGTCACGCTGTGGTCTTACCTTGAGGTCCCTGTGCACAATGCCCATTCGGTGCAGGTAGTAGACAGCATCCAGGACCTGCCGGATCAGGGTGCTGGCATCCTTCTCAGTGTAGAACCCTTTCTCAACAATGCGGTCAAAAAGCTCGCCCCCAGACACTCTGGAAAACATGATGGGATGCAGAAGTATGAGGATATGGCTTGCCATATGCTTTTTACCTCTGGAGCTCTGAGTGCTCCCCACTGTCCCAACAAGCATTTGGGTTTGGTCTTCTCATAGTCCAAGGACTGGTCATGCTATAATGGAAAATAAAATCCATTGCACACCAGAGAGTGGGCAAAGACTCACTAGCACTTGCAGAGGAAAAGCACAACTCTACCCTAGCAAGAGCCAGTGAAGCACACACTGGTTCCTACACTGTATAGGTGAATTTAGTCTGCCCTTCCCACTGGTGCTGGCCCATGGAGGTTGTAAGGCTCCCTACTAGTATGATCCTTGGGGTTCACTTTTCACTTCATCGATCAAGGCTTGGGAAGGCTACCGGAGGAAAGCCAGGCTGAATGGGGCTTTGAGAAACCTGGTCTAGTTGAAGATGTCCCTGCTCATTGCAGGAGGCTTTGAACTAGATGACCTTTAAGGTCCCTTCCAACCCAAGCCATTCTATGATTCTCTTTTCTGTCTTTTCATTGGTGAGTGAAATGCATACAGTAGTTGCTGCCAATACCTATAGATCATTAGTTTATTAAAGGATTCTGCTTCTCTGGCAATTTTAAATGCTTTCAGAGGTGCCCTTCCTTTACTCTTATATGCTCATCTATCAGCAGCCACAAACTCTTTAGGCAGAGCACAGCCTCTGCCTGGCACTGGTAACAGACAGTTACTGAAGAGGGAGCACAGATTATCAGTGCAATTAATCACCAGGTGACACAAATGGGGAAAGGATTCCACAAGTCAAAAGAGGAAAGAAAATAAAACTTTGACATCCCACTATTTAATGTCAGCTATATTACACTTTTCCTCAGCCCTGCTAGAAATAACACATTCTAAACCCAATCTTAAATAAAGAATGGACACATTAAAACTCCCTGGAGGAGTATCTGGGGAAAAAAAAGAGGAAAGAAATGTCTGAGTAATTGAAATAATAAAACTGTCAGCAAAAACCTGTCCTACCAGGGTAAATAAAAGATTTCCATTTTAACAAGCAAAACCTATTAAAAAAATGAAATGCATGTGATAGGCTTTTTTTTCAGCAAGTTGCACCACTTAGCATATCATAAATAGCACAGTAAAACTTTCTTTAAAAACAAACCTCATAAAGGGAAAATAATAAATGATTACAGTCATTAAATACACATAAACTGGGACCTTGCAATTATACGAACACTGGGTAATTCAGCCACTCCAAGAAATAATCTGCTTGAATAATGCCATGAAGTCACTTCCTAGGGAAGTTTGGAGCCTGAATGGGGGAGAAGGCTACAGCTGAAAATGAACACATTCGACTTCGAAAATTAAAAGCAACCTTGCAAGAAGAAATAATAAACCAGATAATCCTCCCATTAAGTGCTAGGCAAACAAACCAAACAGCTTGCTGAAATACTGGGATTAAACTGAAGTTCTGCAGTAAAGGTGAAGTTCACCCAGTATCTGAAGTCCACCCACAAGACCCCTGGCTGTACCAGCAGCCCTGGGGATCGCTGCTGGCAGAGAGAGGATGGAGCAGAAGCAGTGGGATGATTGTGGAGCAAGAGAAAGCCTCTGGTACCATACTGAACTGGAGAGCCCATGACTTATGGCACAGTGGTGAAGGAGGCATGGCAGGTAGAGACTGCACTGGTAGAAGTGCCGTCACACAATAACCTGCTGTGAGATGAACATTGCACAAAAAAACTTGAATTAGAAACCCTTCTTCCCTAACTTCTCACAACAGGAGATGCATTTCCCACAAATATGCATATACAGAGGGTATTGCTCCAAGCACATCTCAGCCCTACGCACTTCACCCAACTCACTGCGTGCCTTGCCAAGGGCAGAAGCAACAGACACAACTCTGCCTTGCCATTCACTGAAGGCAGATACAGTTTTATTGAATCTGGCTCCTATTAGCTGACCGTCTTTACAGTTCCCCTGCAGCCCTTTTGTTTCCCATGGATTGATTGCACTGAAAATGGAGCCCACGCAGTCATTAATATGACTGAATGCAGCACATTTCCCCATTAAAATGCAGTGCGTGCTGGTTTGCATTTCATACAGTTACTTTTGTTATAGTCAAGAGACGCACTGCTTTAGTAGATACTGATTTACATCACATGCTTTCCTGCAGAAGGACTCCTTCAATGTTTGCAGTGTACACTTCCACAAATTGCTTTTCATTAAAATGACAGAGTTTCCCCCCATGCCCACCCACGACCCCCTTAAGCCTCATTCCTAAATTGAAAGCTTTTCTTAGTCAAATTGAGTCCAGTGCATCTACTGTACCCAGGCTCAATCTGTTTATAATTTTATTCCAACACACGGAAAATATTTGCAACCTCTCAAATGATGCATTGCAAACCAGAGCTTAATCCAAGGATTCAGGAGGAACAGGCAGTCAGTTTGCAGCCACTTTCTTATTCAGATTGAAAACAGAATTCCAGGTACATGCAAAGAGCCGAGGGTCCTGTGCTCTTATTTATTTGTGTTGTGACTTTGTGTTGTGGTACATGGGATTTGCACCGCATGTTTGCGCTCACCTATAGAGTCTTCCTGCTCTGGGCAAGAGCTGTGGCTGGGGTTCACCTCCCAGGGATGCTCTGCAGCTCAGCACCCAAGGCCATGGCTACTTTCCATATAGAGCTTATGTCCATATGGGTTTTCTACTCCAAAAGAGGGTTAACTCAACCGTAATGTCATTGGGAATGCTGCTCCCTGTATGGTGCCCAAGGACTGACGTAAATCAGTGCTGTTCCAGGAGCAAACCAGTGAGGGCAGCTGTGGGGGAGCATTTGAGCTCTAAACTCATGGTGGAGATGTGGCCTGTTTTGTCTAAAGCTGGTGGTGAGCCCAGCCCCCTCTACCCTGCCGAGACAGGACTTGGCATCCTGCTCTGAGCAGTGCTGGGCACTCACAAAGCAATTTGTTCGTTCCAGTCTTTATTATTCTGGAATTATTATTATTTCTTTTAATGGCAGCACAAGCTTTGCTCTCTCTATGGCAAATCTGAGCAGTGCACAGAAGGCAGAGTTGAAACTTCAGTCAGTAAGAGCAGAATTGGGTCTTTGTCTTCAAGAAATTTAAGACAGCATTTTCTGACCATTAAGAGAGGGTAGGAGGAATTTCTCATTAGTGGAAGAGGACTGCTCCTGTCTTGCAGCTGGCACTGGCTCACAGAGCTGGACACACTGCCCCAAACAACAACACAAGGAACCTTTTTCCCCACTGATTGTAGTCTTGGTTCCCAGCAAGGAAAAGTCAAAGGGGGAATAGCCAAGTGCAGTTACTTGAAAAGCATTTAGCCCTGGGAACAGCTCGAGTGTCATGCCATGATCCTGAGTCGTAGTTGCCTTGCCTAGGGACTCAGAGCTGGGTAAAAATAAGCAAAAAGGCTGCCACTGCATCTTCTCTAAGGATGCCTGATGGCATCCCCTGCAAAGTGTGTGTCTCCATCCAGTGGTCATTGCTTGGCCACCAAACAGTGGCTATCCCTGGGTTCACCAGGTAGCATGCAGAAAGCCCAGCACTTGAAGAAGGAGCTGAGCTGGCTCAGACAGGATAAAAGGACCCTCAAAGAGCTCGCAGTCCTCACTGTAGGTGAAGAAGGCACTCTAACATTGTCCTAATATTATTCAGTCCTTGTCATTACACAGTCTCTACATTTTTGCAACTCCTAATTTACAGATGTAACTGGGGAGAGATGAGGAAACATTTCATAGAATCATAGAATAGTTAGGGTTGGAAAGGACCTTAAGATCGTTCAGTTCCAACCCCCCTGTCACGGGCAGGGACACCTCACACTAAACCATGACACCCAAGACTCTGTCCAACCTGGCCTTGAACACCGCCAGGGATGGAGCATTCACAGCTTCCCTGGGCAACCCATTCCAGTGCCTCACCACCCCTACAGTCAAGAACTTCTTCCTTATATCCAACCTAAACTTCCCCTGTTTAAGTTTTAACTCATTACCCCTTGTCCTATCACTACAGTCCCTAATGAAGAGTCCATCCCCAGCATCCTTATAGGCTCCCTTCAGATACTGGAAGGCTGCTATGAGGTCTCCACGCAGCCTTCTCTTCTCCAGGCTGAACAGCCCCAACTTTCTCAGCATTAGTATTACACCTTTACTTTACATTAACCCATTTCCCCATCAAGTTCCTCAGGAAAGAGCCAAGCTGACAAAGAAGACAACCTCTGCTGCAGGCATGGAGAAAGGACACGATCAACCTTTTCCCGCGGGAACCAAGTCCTTTGCAGTACCATCAGGAAAGCAGATCGTGCAAAGTTTCAGAGGCACGCTTTGATGAAAGATGAGCACCAAACAAAAACTCCATTGTATTTTATACTCCACTGTATCAAGAGCCAGTCTCTCTGGACTTCTGAATTTTTTGCCTGCAGTGAGAAACCTTCACCTGCACACTGCAGGTCACTACCAGGTACCTGCCAGATCACTACCACAGCCAGGCTGCCTGGCAGGGAGCAACCCTATATATGTTACCTTCAGGTAAATAAATATATGAATGAAAGAACAAATAAATGCTAGAATTAAAATGATATTAGTCATGTATTGATATTAATGCATTCATGTTACTCTTTATTTCTCTTGCTAATGCCACCTGTGTGTACAGAATATATCCTCTTATTTATTCACCAGTGCATCCCCCACTATTATCAAGTGTTGGAACCTTTCTCCTTGTTTTAGGACCTTGAAAAATAACACCCTCTGAATTATCCTTTTGACTTCTTTGCCATTTGGCAAAACATTGATGCTTTCCTTTTCTATCTCTCTTGGAGTACAGGCTGGAATTGCTCTGGATGGTTTACTGTTTGACAGTTTAACTGCTTTTTATCAAAAGTCTTCTTGATGAACTCATCAGAGATGGATTCAAGCAAAGAATCCCATCAAAAGCACTCGTAGGCTTTTCCCTCCAGAAGTGTGTGAAGAAGTTCACCTGATGCTTCACTGC